TTGTGGAAATCTCTTGATGAGGGACAAGGTTATGATGATGGAATTTTTTGACCACATGCGGGCCCTTGCTGATAAGCTTCACAATCGCACTCGTATCTCTCTACCTCGTAGGCAACATGTGTATGCAATTTGTACCGGATTTCTAATTTTCGATAGACTCTCACGATTCGAAGTCCGACAACAATTTGGAGGAAGAACTTGACGAACTTATAAAGTACCTATCGACAATCCAGGCCCGTTTTCTCGATACTCAGGGTACCTCGGGCCAGAATAACGATCCTCGTTCGTCTGGGGACCTTATCAGAATATTGATCAGCATTCATGGAAATCTCCAAGTTACATTGAAGTTGATAGAAGAAGAAGATGCGAAGAATTACAACGCTGCTAAAAAAGCTTTTCTCTGGCGGTCAGAACTGTTAGATTCGGTTGCGGAAACAATAGCTATCGAGAATCACAAATTGAGAGTATTGCTCTGCACTTTCGACCCGTAAGTATCTTACTGCCAGCCGATGAACGTTGCACATATTGACTCTTTTACAGAGATGCTAATGTCGAAGCTGCCATTCCTGAAGAATGGAGAAAATGGAGATCGCGGAAAATTGAAGGCTACGTCGAAATGGAAATACAAAGATGTGGGAGACAGGGACGTCAAATAAGCCGACTGGATGGTTACAATTACCAATTTAAGTGGAACAAATTGAACGATGCAGAATACTTGAGCCATATTTCTGGAGACAAACTTTGCAAAGTTTCGGCCAAATCTTGGGAAGCTTTCATTCAATGTTTCACTCGAAATCTACAAATCGCACAAGAAGAATCTTGTGAACCTTCTGATAGGTGGATACATCTTATGATTTGCTCGCACTACTTGATGTCCGCTCGAGGGACTCTGGAGTATCGCCAATTTGCCATACATTTCAACCATCCGCAAGATTTATGTATCATTGATACGGGCTTTACTTTACATCATTACATAACGGAGCTGGAGATCGTGAGTAACTGCAACTCTTTGACTCACCTAAAGCTGACAAACCACAGCTGCTCTTTGGTATTCTTACTGAACTAGAAACAGAATACCTCAATCCTGATGCTGTGCAAGAAAGGACCAAGTCGAACTACTCGCAGCAATCGACGCCGTTGATCCCTCAAACTCCTCCCCTAGTACAAGATAGGCATGAAAGTGTCTCAACCGGGTCGACTCAGTCCATGAGCATCGATGAATACGGAGTCATTTTCAAATGGTAACAGGATTGAGAATTCCACGATATAATCATGTAAGAATGCTAACGTTTGCTAGCCAACTCGGTGGCGAGCAAGCTGATCATATAATTAAAATTCGAATCGATGCAGAGGGTGCATTGACTTTAGATTTTGACGAGGAATCACGTCTTTGGCCTAAGACCCTCCAAGCGTTCAGAGAATTGTAAGTTTGAGCAATTCAACTGATGACATGGTAACATTCTTTAATTCCTTCATAACAGAGATCTACGAAGAGCTTCTATTCACCCCAACTATCTCACTCCCGGAATTTATATGTGTGATTTAACCCTAGAGAGAAAACTACGTGGAAGAACCGAGATCGCGAATGGCCGTTTGTTCTTCCAAAGCTCAACAAGTTTGAAGGAATTTCAAAAGGCTCTGACGGGATATAGGGTTCTAGTAGACTTGTTTGTTATTTCACCCTCCCTTAAACATCTTTATTGCTAATTTTCCCACAGCCAACGGGGCATCAAACTTCGAACCCTTGAGAAGTATCAATTTGAAAGCAAGAATGCAATTACCGGAAGACTGCAAATTTGGCTCAAAGACTTCAACAAGGGACATGATTCTACTCAGCCTGGCGCAGGCTCTTCGCTTCGAAGAGCATCGACTTCTTTCTCAACCATGAGCGGGACCACTTTTGCTTCAATAGCGACACTGAAAGCACAACAAGCTATTCCTGGCTCACATCTAACTGCTGTTGACGAAGGCAGTGGCTTACAAATAGAAATGCCCGTTCCTCCACTAGTCATTATGTTTGTTGAATCGTCGTCGAGAGATGGGAAAATCCAACGAGGGCAGATCTTGGCATTTAAATGTAAGCAAGCTGAATCCTATCTTAATTGGTTACTAAAATAATTTAGTTGCAGAGCACTCGAAGCTTGATCGTAAAAAATGCAAGCCTGATGACAAATTTCCTCGCTGCTTTGTGCTTCATCCTGTCCGTTGCGACCTTGAAATCGGACCTTTGAAATTTCCTCAAAACCCGAAAGAACTCAGCTGGCTCGAAGTCTCTTTCTCAAACGATGAAGGTAAATCGTGACGCGATAACAATTTTTGTGACAAATGCTGAAACATTGTTTACAGAAAGGGAAATTTTTACTAAACAACTTGAAGATGCAAGAAAAATATACCATCGACGTATGGAACAACATAACAAGGGCTTGAAATTCATGCGCCAGGGTCGTCATAACACCAAAGAATACGGCGTGGATTAATAACAATGAATAATGTATAATCTTTGATGATTAACGAAACGAAAGCGATGAAATTGGTAGCACTCAGTGCACCGTGTATATATTTTCTGGGGTCATACGCCTTTTGTATATTATGATTCTACTTATTGAAGATCACCTCATAATTTGAGTCTTCCCTATATATATAATGGTTTCTTGTTATTGTGCTACGCTAATGTTGTCTCCAACTCATCCTCGGAAAGAAAGGTGCCTCTTCTCCTTGGAGCCGATAGTCCATTGATATCTTTATCCCCTCTTATTTGGGAGGATTCATCTACTGAGGTGGATTGAACATCGTTCCTCCGCTCTGCCAAGCTACAGACCATACCATCTATATTGCTTGAAACATCCTCGTAAATTAGATCAGATCTACTGCTGTATTTTACCATGCCAGAATGGTCGGAGTTTAAAGGTAGATTTCGTGCACCTGGTGTCGCACTATCTTCTACCATGAGAATTTTTTCGCCTACAATCCCGTTACGCTATTTCCATTGTTAGTCGTCCGAAATTTATCATACAAGAAAGTCTTACTGTTCGAGGCTGGGAGTAATGCCTTTCCCAAAAATACAACACTTCTGGTGCATGCGAAGAGGATCTTTCTTTCCGCTTACAGCAACTCTCAAATCTGTGTTTTAACTCGATGAGATAAGCAGATGGAGTCCCATTCTCACGATCACGACATAATTGGCCGATTAAAACTTTGTTTGGCTGCGACTTTACAGCTTCAATAAGAGAAGGATTGTTGAGACCTGCTATTGGGATACCAAAGCCGACAAGTCCGTGCCAAAAGTCGAAAATCTCCCGCTCGTATGGATCGCGACTATCTGCAGCTCTAAGAAGCGACTAAACAGCGGGATATCAACACCTATACCTCGAGAGTTGAGATGAGACTCACCTCCTGAACTATCAGACCTCCAAGACTTTGTCCAATGAAGATTATGGGACGATTTCGTGTCTATAACTCGTGTCAGCAGCAGTCTGTAGCGGCTTACGCGATAAAATTTACCACCTACCGAGGTGTTTCGGCGAAGTAGTGTTAATCTATTTAAGAAGGTACTCGCTATATCTTCGACCTTTTCCATGGATTGACCCCCAGAAACTGTGGAGGGATACCCATACAACAGTATGCGAGTGTTTGGAATATCTTTCGGAAGGAAATCTCTCAACCACATTTCATGACTACCAGGAGTTGTGGATCGGAAAGTCCCAAACGCGTGCGTTCCAAGACCCACCACAGCTACGATACTACAGCTCATGTCAGTTATGAAAACACGTCTATGAATGATATATATACATACTCCACGTCAGCTTGCAACCTTTCAGAACTGGCATTATACAAAGTTGTGAAATTCAGGAAGTCCGCATCATATTGTATCTCCGGTGCATCTGGACGTGATTGGCGTGCTAGGATCACTTTTGGCAATTGCTCTGTTGGAAAGCCAAACTCTTCTTTTGGGAATGTGACGGTAGCACAAAGATGTTCTCTCATATGAAGTGCGAGACTATGAATCTTGGGTTTGCTGCGAAATTCTTTCTGCACAATTATTTCAACAACTTCTCTCGTGTATGTTACGGGTATGTTCCTGATACGAATAGTATCTGGTCTGTCTTTTTTTGCAGGTGGTTGGGGGATTTTCTCCAAATCAGAATTTGGAGGTTGCACTAGCCCTTTTCCTTTGTCTGACTTTGGTAGAGGATCGAGTTCTCGCAATAATGCTTGGACTTTGATACGACAGAGATTATGTACTTTCTGTGATTGTCAGTTGTATGTAAAATACTTATGTCGTGCTAAATACCTGTAGTTCCTCAGGTTTGGGGGCATCGTTGCCTAGTAATTGGACTTCATAATCATAGTTCTGCGCTCCGGACTAATGGTGAAACGTTAGATTCACAATTTGCCCAAGCATTTCATGACAAATACTGACAGTAGACTTCTTTCGAATTACTTTCGCATGTTTACCGAAGAACTTTTGAACAATGCTCTCAATGGCAACAATATATTCTTTTCGATCACCGGAGACGGTGTATACGCAACGCGAAGCATCGTCTGAATTTCGACTCATTGAAAAAAACAAGCTTTTGATTATACTTTTGCGAAAAGATAGCAAATTATGTAAATAGAAAATAATTTTGTTGAGGTATTCCGTACGCGGGATCTGTTAATGTGCCTCGACTAGGCTGCAAGGTATACTTCAATGATGAGGCTCAATGTGGAGAGAATACTCGAGCTGATCATTTACTTGGTTTACTTGGTTTTCGGGGGCTGCGACCCAATGCGGAACTCTTCACATGTACCCATGCATCTCGGCGTTGTGTGACTAGTCATATGTCTTATCGCTCAGCCCAAGATGTTCGCCCTATGGAATGAAGGCATGCCACCAGGGCAGTGCTCAACTCGTGGTATCGATGTACGCTCGGTGAGGGATTTGATAAAGAAGCGATGATACCAGGTAATTGCAAAAATTACTGCATCGATTTTCAAACTTTATAACAGATTTCACAACAATGCCTTCATTCCGGAAATCTCAAGCGGAAAACGTGGAAAAATCAAGCCGGGTCCCGTCTTACAGGTCAGCTGACTATCCAAATCCCCAATGGCAAGAAGACTTGAAGATAAGCACTCCTTCATTTGGCACATCAAGCCTTGCTACAGAAACAGAAACGCCTGGTTCGTCAATGATAGTAGCACAACCGCCAATAAATATTGACGATGTATGGCGAGAAGTACGAGCGCTTGAACGCCACAGGTTCGCATCGTCTCGGTACCGGAAACTCGGGAAGACAATTGAGCCGGTAATAGACTTTTTAACGAGGTTCTCACCTATTGTAGATATGATGGTTCAGGGAACCAGTAGTGCCTCTCTAGTGTGGGGTTCATTGAAAGCTGTTTTAATGGTTGCTCAGACTTCGGCTACTTATTTTTATTACATAGATAATGCCATGCTGAAGCTTAGCGACATGCTTTCCATATCAAGTCAATATGAAAAGATGTTTGCGACGGAAGTCCGTGTGAGAACTGCGTTGTCGGATTTATATGATGAGATCTATCTTTTTTTGGAGAAAATACGAAAGTCGGTGTCTGTTAGCTGTTAGTACAACGTCCCCTGATTTCCTCTAAGCGGTTCTAACAAAGTGTTAGCATTGAAGATTTTCTTCAAGAACATGAGAAAATCTTTCGACGCAGAGTTTAAAGATAATTTGGAACACATCGAAAGATATACTCGAGTTTTTAATGATGAAATTACTCTTGCGCACCGAGCCAGGATGGATGTCTCGACTAAGAAAATTCAAGAATTGGTTGGAACTATTGCTCTAGAAAATGTAGATCTCGCGAACCGAGTAGATGTTCGAGATTCATATCGTGAGTCGAGTCATTCACCATACTTAGCTTCCACTGGACTTCCTATACTTTTTATAGAAATCCGCTGACGAGCACATATAGACACCAAAGATGCAATATTAAAATGGCTAACCCAGGTTGACTCTCGGGAAGATTATTACCGAGCTCTGGAGAGACGCTCGCCAGGAACTGGAGTGTGGCTGCAAGACGATCCAAGATTCCGGAGCTGGAGACGCTGCACCGAAGCTTTGACTGACCGTTCGATACTATGGATTCATGGCCGGCCGGGATCAGGCAAAACGGTGCTAAGCACTGCTGCTATTGAGCATCTTCAACTTAAAGTCGAAAAAAGTTTAGAAAGATCGGAGAATAAAATAGCCTCTGTGGCTTACTTCTACTGCGATTCTGGAGACGCCAGAAAAAGATCGACGTTAGAGATCCTCGGATCAGTTTTGGCACAGTTGATTGTACCACTGCATGAATTTCCCAGCGGAGTCAACGAAGCGTATGAGCGAGCGAGGAAGTATGGAAGACAGCATTTATCAACCGCAGACGATATTATCTCCGTCATCAACCACGTGGTACAAGATTCTTCATCTTGTTACATTGTCATTGATGGGGTGGATGAATGCAGTGATCCAGGTGATCTTACAAAAACATTTGCGGATATTGCAATATGCTCCCACAATGTTCAGCTAGCTCTTTTTTCTCGCAACATTCCTACTATTGCATTTGAGCTGGATAAAATGCCGCACGCAAAGATTGAGCTGGAACCTTCTTTGGTACAGCCAGATATTGACAACTTCTTAACGAAATCATTTGATAGTTTACCTGGGAAAGGTACAGGGGCACAAGAACAGGCATTCTCAAAGCTTTCGAATGCTTCTGGTGGTATGTTTTTATATGCTTCTCTGGGAATCCAAAGTCTAGCCGAAGCAATTGATTCACAGAGTGTTTTGGATGCCATTGAAAGAATACCCGAGGGACTCAATGGATTCTATGGTCAGATACTCGAGAGATTAGGTTCGCAAAGTGTTCGAAGACGGGATCTTGCTCGTAGAATTCTTCTATGGGTTTGTTGCACAACAAGGCCACTATCTTGGAAAGAGCTTCAGTGTGCTCTATCTTGGGACGAGACAAAGGAGGTGTTTATAGAAGATCAACGACCCTTTAAGGATGCCGTGCTTGATCTATGCGCTCCTTTGATCGAGTATCGAGCAGAGAAGGATACATTCCACCCAGTTCATGCATCAGTTCGCGAGTTCCTATGGAAGTCTCATGGTTTCGACTCAATGTCGGCGAAAGCAACGCAATTTCTCATGACCGAGCCTCACGCACACCAGGCTATTGCCGAAGTGTTACTAGCAAGCCTCTTGCTACCAGATGTTGTACATAACACGGAAGTTGATGATCTTCAGTATCCATTGGCGAGATATTCTACAGAAAGTTGGTGTCACCATCTATCGTCAGCGTCATTTGGAGAGAATCTATGCCAAAAATATGACACGTTTGCGAATTCGTCTTTAGCGCGATCGACATGGATCCTGCGTTTTCTTCTTTCAAACAGACAGTCATTTCCCTTACAACGTATAGCAAAGTATCAAAAACAAGTAAATGATTGGAAGAATCGCAAAGAGAGCTCAACCACCACTTTTGCTGCGGAGGATTTAGCTGATATACAACGAGCATTGATCGAACTGGATCAACGGGACCTCGACCAAGTAGAATCTATCTCAAATTTTGAGCGCGATCTCATCGTCCGGGATCTGGCACGGGCTTTCACAATGGCAGGAAAAGTTGACCAGGCAATTGATATGTTCGAAAAGGCTCTTGCTCATGGACCACCAGGGGATACCTCGCCAGAGTCTGTCCGGACCACCTGGCTCCTAAATAGTCTTGGGATAATGTATGACCAAAAAAATCTTACTGATCTTGCTTTACGCACGCAATTAAAGGCTTTAGCCATCCAGGAAAAGTATCTTCCTCCTGATCATCTCGATCTTGCATTAACACTAAATGAATTGGGTCGGGAAACGCGACATCTTGAGAGATACCCGGAGTCCGAACAATACCATCTCCGCGCGCTCAATATTCTGCGTCAATCTCTTCCCGAGACGGACTTGCAGATAATATGGACCCTAAATACCCTCGCTCGCTGCTATCGCTTCCAAGGACGTTACCCCGAAGCGCTCGCTCTCCATCAGCTTGCACTCAACGGCCAAATTACGTTAATGGGGGAGGACCACCCGCATCCCATTCGAACGAGATCAGATATCGCGAAAGTATTGAAAGCGCAGGGAAAATTTGAAGAAGCATTAGAAATCATGGAAGATATGTATGAGAGAAGAGTCCGAGTACTGGGAAATGATAATCCGGATACATTGTGGACGATGAATGACATTGGGATGGTGTGGGAGGAGATGGGTATGCATAGTGGAGATTTGAAATGCAGGGGAAAGGCAACTGAGTGGCATGAAAGAGCCTGGAGGGTGCAATCTAGGGTGCTGGGGGATGAGCATAAGCACACGGTTTGGAGTCGGCGAGTCTTGGAGAGTTTGAAGGGAATGGAAAGAGTGGGCGATGCCGTTGCAGTTTGTTGATCTTCTTGAGAAGCTTGGAACTCGATTTGGCTTATGTTAATGATATACGATATGATGCATTGCTTTCAGGTAGATTTTCTGGGTTCATTGTTCGAAATGGTTGGTTTTGTGGTGGTGCGGGGAAAGATGTTTTTTCTTATAAGGAGATTAAGATACCATTAAAATATTCTTCCACATATAACCAACGCTACTGCGATAGTGTATATTGGCGATATACCATAAATATATGTGATATCAGCGCGGGTGGGAAGTGGTGAATATGGTGAGTCGAGATCATTGACTCGATTTCAAGATTCCACTATAAGAGGTTCTTCTCTTCCATCATCTGAAGAAGTAATACTTAAAAGGGATCACTTTGTGCGCGATACATCGACTACGGCATCAACAGTGCATATTTATTGACGATGATCAGCTTTTCTCATAAGAAAATAAATTGAATTTTGAAATGACAACCTTTAGTGAAGCTGACTATACCTGAAGAACGATGCACACACCACTAGAGTGTCCCGGATTTTTCTTTCTCTATATGTAAATTACAACGCACGCTCTTTATTTTAGGGTAGATACAGATACTTCTTTTCTTGAGGTTGTGAAGAGTTTTCTTCGATTTTCCTTCAGGAAAAACCTGGTTTAGAATGAGATAGCTAGAGGAATAAAGGCAACTACTTGAGTGAATATTCCGGTATTGCACATGTGCTCCGAATACAACAGTACTCCAGATATAGGTATCACTGTATATAAAATGACTAGAGGGCCTCAAGACTCAAAATCCAAAACCAATCCCCCAATATCTCTAGCAAACCAGGTGCGGAGTGGTGGAAATTCGCACGATAGCATTCGAGACAGATTGCCCCTTCTTTTCTTCTTTGTGCTTTACAAACATGGAAGGAGGGATGACATAGAAACGTGACGTCTGAGTAATTAATGGGGACTTTATGTGACAGTGAGGGTGTACTCCCGTGATAACGAGAATTCTGACCTGTGAATGGACTAGCTCGCTTAACAGCAACAATACTCAACTGCGATCAATTATTCTATCACGGCTTAAAGGATAATATGTACCTCAGATGAGAATCTCAAAGTCACTGAGTTCCAAAGGAAGCAGCGCTTCACAATGTGTAGTGTATAAGATTAGCAGGCCGGAATAAATGCACATGTTATACCGGGTTTTCAATAAGTGCTCATGAATTGGCACTAGAGAGTTTTAATAAAATCAATAACTCATGTTCCAATTATGATCTAACACCTTTTCCTTAATGAATCAAAACTCAACTTAAACAAGCGACCATTCTAAACTCAACCTCAGAGATTTAGTAATCCATCTGAATCTCGAACACCAGAGAGACGACTATAAAATGATCCTATCAGAGTACCAAATACGACCAACTTCGCGTTTTAAATTCACCAGTCTGCTCTAGAAGCAAAATTCTCACTCTACTCTCAGTAAACTTCGATCCCCGGAGAGACCGTTTGTGAGCGGTACAAGAGTTGTAGAACTATAGCAAGAAAGTCATATCTTAGCAGCGGAAACGTTCGATAGCAGAGATGGAGGTAGAATTTTTGTTATATGTGGTAATGACAATAATTCCAGTAGAATTTAACAACAAACGGCGGTATAGATACCAGCTTTATCAACAGGAAGAGGTTTATTTTCCCTTCCCTTAAATGAGATGATTCTGTCCTATGAAAAAAAATTTCGAGCACCGGAACACGCACTCATAGATCATTTATATAGTACATCTTTCTTTTAGTATTCTGGATCTTAGCCGCACCAGAGCCTGCCGATCTGAGTGTGTAAAATGACGCTTTTGACCATCTAGCAAAAAGCGGGAACTCCACCTTTTCGCATTCCAAACTCGCATCGATGTTAGACTATAAAATCTTCTGAACTTTCTCATGGCATATATAACAATGAAACCACAAGAATTAAAAATCATTGACAAGTAGGTGTACGCAGACGACGGGGAATTGAGCTATATGATTACAATAGCATGTCTCCATTTTTCTGAAAGAGAATTACATAGATCTCAAGACCTAGGAGGCCATGAACAGAGTTGGTCAATGACAATAATGGGATCTGACAACCCGCCAGTCCCAATGACACCAATTCTTGTACATGACGGTCCGAAGGGATCAACCCCCCTCAAACTGCCCCTCAAAAACTCGTCCTAGATCAGAACATAACAGTTGAGAAATTCAAACCTAGCTGAATACTTTCTGCATAATTTCCTAGGCTCCTTCATTGCGTTGTTCTTCTGCGTACCTTGAAGTTTTATTCAATAATCTGCAGTATTTATACAATCAATTCCAAGAGCTCAAACACAAAATCCAAGCAAAAATTCGTGCTATATAAGCACCCTACCATACCTGAAAACTTTCTCATAAAATAGAAGAGAAACTGGACGTTGGTTTGGCATGGGGAGACCACCTAGAAACAAACAGATTTCTACAGAGTCTTCGTTTGTATTTCAGGAAAGATTGGTAGTTTGAATTTGATATTCCTGTGTATATCAATCGCTGGACGCTGATTTTGGGTTACAAGATATCAAGATATTTACTTAAGAATTTCGACAGTGAGAGGGGTAGTCCATGAAAACAGCCGCTTTCAATGGTGGTCAATATGATAATATGTCTACTCAGAAGATTCTGATCATCCAAGAATTGAGGGCACGGATCTGGGTAGCAATACTCCATCTCACCAAACAGACACAAGAGCCAGACACTGGCGTGACAAGTGGGACGGTTTCTGTAAAAGTGGAAAGACCCACGACAAGACAAAATACCTGCTAATTATACTTTCAGATAGAATCTCTCTAAAAGCATTCACTGCTAAGAACGAAAGTAGAAAATTTCGAATGCAAAACTTCAGAAACCCACCCATTTTGAAGCACGGCATGCCCCACTAAAACTTCATATTCAAGTTATAAAACAAAGGCGACGAAGAAATGAACCCCTTATCAGTAAGAAATTCAGATGATTGGCAAGGTTTGAAGGGTGAGCGAGAAGTAGGTATGTCATCCAAGACATTACGTCACGTTCGCCGTAGTGTTTCTCAGATTGGAAAATGATCCGTAGATGGAGGATGAACGAGAATATGATGGTAGAAATACAGGTAGATTCACATTGACGACGATGTTTATCCGATGAAAAGATCGGTGATAAATATAAGTGCCGTTAGCTATCTCGATTGTGCCGCTGCCGCCAGTGAACTACGACCATATCAAGATTAATGATTGAAAAAGGTAATCACATTCGGTTATATGATTGATGAATGTTGAAAAATTGATATGATGAGCTATGATTGCAAACAAGGGTATTGGATCATTAAAAAAACATATTCAGGGAGATCAAAATCTCGCTTCCACTTTCTTCTCCACATCACCCAAAGCCCAAGCACTAGTCTTCGTCTTACTCCTCACACTGGTAGCTTGCTGCTCTGTGAATCCTTTTGCCTCAACAGCTGGATTGTACCCCAACTTATTCTTCTTTCCAACTTCAGCGGAATCAACAGGAGCATTTGTTTTCCCATCGGCACGCTTGTAAACAGTCACCACAACAGCACCGCCTAACCCAAGATTGTGTTGTAAAGCGAATCTTGTACTGTCAACCAATCGGTTATTTGCCCATCCACGAAGATGCCAGACAAGCTCGGCGCACTGTGCGATTCCTGAGGCTCCGAGTGGATGACCCTTTGAGATCAATCCGCCGGAGGGGTTGATCACCATCTTGCCGCCATATGTAATATCACCCGCTCTGACCATCTCGTGTGCCTTTCCTGGTGGAGAAAGACCCAAGGAGTCGATAACAATCATCTCATTGGCCGAGAAACAATCATGCAACTCGCAGACTTTGATGTCTGCAGGTGTGACCTTTGCTTCCTCCATAGCAGTCTTTGCTGCGAATTTTGTCATCTCAAAACCCATCAAGTCAATCGCAGATTTGGAAAATAGCGATGGGGCATCAGTAGCCATGCATTGACCTGCAATCAATACTGCTTGTTCTTTGAGGTGTGGGCGGGCATCAAGAAAATCTTGTGAAACTAGAACAGCTGCGGCCCCTCCATCTGATGTAGGACAGCATTGCAATTTTGTGAGCGGCTCATGGATCATAGGAGCTTTCATGACTTGCTCTAGAGTATATACATCTTGGAATTGAGAGTATGGGTTTCGTTGCGAATGTTCGTGATTCACTCTTGCAATTTCTGCGAAATCTTCATTTTTGGCACCATACCTATTTGCGACAAAGAGTTAGTTATTTGCTACGACATTGAACACTCGATTTTATGGACGTACTTTTCCATATATTCCCGACCTGCATTACCAAACATTTGCGCAGCCCCGGGCGCATTCGTAACGCCTCTAGTGGCACGCATCATTTCACCCGACGTACCAGTCGGATTACTACGATCATTCCAGAAACTCTGCAGCGAACCCGGATTCATCTTTTCGAATCCAACGACCAATATACAATCCGCACCTCCATGACTAATAACATTTCTTGCCAAAGCCAATCCTGTTGAGCCTGTTGAACAATTGTTGTTCACGTTGTAGATGGGGATCTGGGTCATTCCGAATTGATAAAAGACACGTTGTCCGCAGGTAGAATCTCCATAACAATAACATGCCACTCCTTGGTCGACGTCGTCGTAATTGACTTGTGCATCAAGCATAGCCTTGATACCAGCTTCGAAACCAAGCTCGGTGTAATCGACTTTACCCCTTGGCTTGATGAATTTGGTCATGCCGACGCCCAGGACGTAGCATGGTTCATTGCGCTTGATAACCATTTTGAGATTGATGATGATTCAAAACAAGTGACAATTATTACTGTACTTTCAATCGTACAAGAAAAGAGCTATGAAGTTTTGGTACAAATTTATAAATGAGAAATGGAGGTGATTAGAGAACCTTATCATGTTCATTTCTGGGGTAAGTTTTGCGGGGAAACTACCGAGGCTCGGAAGTGGATCGTTGCCGTTATATCCGGTGCTAAAGGAACGATTTTGGTGCAACCACTATTCATTAAAAAAGGGTTAACGATTTAAAGGGTTTGTGGCGAACAAATGTATGAAGTACCGTACTGGAATGAGCATCTTTCCTGTTTTATAGCAGCTTGAGGACCGTTTTTCCATTATTAGTATTACGATATTGCAACAATTGAGAAGTCTACCGAGCGAGAGCTCGCTATGAACGAGTATCATGGCCTCTAGGAAGCGCCAGGAACAATGTTCTATTGGGTATTTACAAGGCTTGATATTCCAGCATCCTTGAATCCTGCCACGAAGAATTTGTCCACAGCTTGAAGTCATGATTTATGAAGTGGAATAGCTTTGAAGCCAAATGGCCGGGGATTTTGCCATGCTCTTTCGTTCCGGCACATTCGTCCAGTATCAAGTCCAATCAAGTCCAATCAAGTCCAATTAAGTCCCTCATTATTCATGCTTCTGTTCATCTTTTCCTGGTTCAATCTGCGTGCATCTGTTCTATCTCGATGAATCCAATTTTTCATCTGATAATTAGTAATCGTTGCGGGCGTTGAAACTGGCTTAATGAAGTCAAAGTCAAGCATGCAGTGGGCATTTGAGAAGGATACACGAGCCAACATCGACGTCGAAGTTTCGGCAGGAAAAGATAAGCTCTGACTGAGCTGATTCTGAATTATAATCCGAATACTTGTCTGGATGATCATGATCTTATCGTCTGGTCATTGCAATAATTTGGTAATTCTCCACTTCCTCGTCTAACTACTCACACAGTAATCGAGTCTCCTCAATCGTGTAAGATCATTAGCGAATCACGTCCAGCATCACTTTCTCTTACGCTATACATTGATCTTCAACGCATGGTTTCTACATTGCCAGTAGAATCAGAAACTGGCGAACATAGAAGCTTTAATCTGGCCCATGATTTTACAGGGTGGCAGAAGCCGTTTTGCATACCTAAGTTCATTCAAAGCCGCCGACTTTCGTAACCACTTCATGCATTGCAAAACAAACAAGCTGACACATGCTAAGTGTACAAGAAAGCAGCTATTAATAATTATCTTTTCTCCTATATCTTTTCCAATCTCCACCTGAAAGCGATAGAAGGTAGCGAGAACGATGGAACTTGACCCCGCCGTCGCCCTCCTACCAAAACTTTCCAAAAAAAAGAAAATGTCAAAAGAAAAAACATACAACAGTGGGGATTCGCTGGTGGTCACCCACCCAACTACTAATCCACCGATCTGAAGCTTGTGTATGGCAGAGCGGACGGGATGCCCAATTCTCTTCAGTCTATGGTCGTATGTGACAGGTGCATGGATTTTGGAGCCTATATTTTGTTGTGGTGTTGAGGTCTACATGGTGAGAAGATGGTGATGGAAAGGGGAATTGTAGAAGGGGATATTACCGGGGTTTAGTTCAAGATCTCAACGCTGAAAGATATAGTGTAAGATAGCAAGTCAGACTGTATCGAAGGGAGATAGTCAAGGAGAATCTGGATGGGTAGCCACTTTTTGGAGCAAGACTGGACTGCGGCATAAAACGATGCTATAATCACAGATACCCTCAGATCCGTTGAAGCCCAAGCAAAACGTATAGAACAGAGGATAAAATACCAAATTGGAGAAACTTGTACATGGGATACCAACACAGTAGCACAGAGTCAAGCCTCCGCCGACGGGAAGGGAAAGACCGAACTTACAATGGTAGATCATAGATCCTGTAACCCTTATTGAATTATGTTTCAAGCCCAGAATACCAGCTTCACAACACCCGTCAAACGCCTCATCGAACGACTCTCCAATCTACAGTCCAACAAGCATGGAACTCTCATTGCTCGTAGGCCCAGAATATATATATAAAAACTCTACTCTCTCTTGCTGTTCCTTTCGCTATCTCTCTCTTGAGGTTGCACAAGGAAATCTCTCACCTCATACTTTCCTTATTCTCGGTAAATTCCATCCACGAAAAAGCAAAATCAAACATACATTGACATGTCGGTATGTGAATCATCAAAAAATGTGGGAAAGAGTTTTGAAGATCGTGTATTCCCTAGGAAATCTGAATAGATCGTTGACATTAACTATCAAGAAAATCCATAGATATTCATGATTCGTGATTCTAGCTATCCCCAAAAAGAACATGATACATATTGTTCCATTCACCCCAGTGAATACCAACCCTACCCTCCTTCCCCCTTCACCGTACCCCCCTACTATCCAAACCTCCTAACCCCACAAATCCTCAAACCTTCCATAAAAAGACCTCTCTAAACATACATACGCACACAAGCAACAACAACCCCTTCGGCACGCGTCGAGCATATTTCTAGGACCAAAGTTTGCGTCGCAAAGCCAAACCATTGTAACCTCTTTCCCGCATCCAAATCCGTACGCAAGGTACGCAAGCAATTGTCTTCGCAATCTCACATACATTTACTTGATCGATTGCAGCATGAGACTAGGAAAAGACGACACTCATAAACATAAAATCTTAGGTAAAATCACATTAAACGACAGTAAAAACACATCTCAACGACAAAAGAAATACTCAGGGGAGAGCACAAACAAAAGCAGCAGAATCGCGCAAAACACTATCCATAATTCATAGGAATAAGAGCAAAAATAGGACAGACCATCGCGACGACGATTGATTATTCCCTATTTCAATGTCATCCAGTAGGTGCCCAGGCAGATGTTGAAGAAGCTTCTGCTTTCCCTTAGCAAGATTTTATATACTACTCCCGTTCGTGAAAATTGCGTGATCATGTCTGTATCCGCAGTGAATGCTGGCTGTGGTCCATTACTCATAGTCATTGTTGCGGATAGAATGTCTTATTTAAAGAGAGCATAGAATCATGCTGCGCTGGTACTACCAGATTTCCACTCATCAACGCAATTCTTTCTCCTCTCAACATCCAGTCTTGACACAGCACACGAATCAGCCTTATAGGAACTTCAAAGTAGAGCCTAGTACACCATACCAAGCATCATCACCAGGAAAAATCAGATATAGTTCATAATTTCGTATTGGTCCTCCACATCTATTAGAAACCCGCACAGTCTGTATCAGTCTCTCTACCGCAAATGTATGCGAACCCCATCATCCGCCATCATCATCAAGCCCTCATGAACCCACCCTTCTCCCCCTTTCTTTAACTCCTTATTCAGTCTTAACAGCAACGTCCTTGCTCACACCATCCGCCTCCGCCGTATTAATCTTCTTTCCCGTCTTTGCGATCTTCTCCAACACGGTATCGAATTCCAATTCCGGCTTTCCGATGACCGTTGCGGTTTGACCTTCGAGGTTGACTTCGTATGCGCGGACACCTATTCTCTCAGTTAGTGATCTTCTTTTTTGCTAAGATTACAATCGAGGTGGTTAATAGATATGCGACACCAAGCTGCGCAAAGCTCATATGTTCCATGCGCGAAGCCAAAGAGGAGAGTGAGGTATCAGAGAGCAAGAAAACAAAACAAACTCACCATCCAATTTCTTCAAAACTCTATCAACAGCCCCAGAGCATCCTCCACAGCTCATCGAAATATTGAACTTGTATGTATGTTCGCCCTCCTCTGCGATCAAAGTAGCTGGTGTGTTTACTCCGGTGTCTGCCATTGTGTCTGATTGTTGTAATTTTCTGTTCTTATCGTACTTCCGAGTGATGTATTGAAGAATAAATGCTAATTCGTAGATGCAGGCAGTTATGGTGAGGTAAAGTAAGGGATCAAATGTATTATTGTATCGAAAGTAACAAGAGAAAGAGGATGCGACGACGGATCCTTATAATACTTTCGAGGCTGCGGAAAGGCTGAGGGCCCACCTGCACTGATAACGCAATGCGCTCGCTTAGAAATCACAAAGCCGATGGACCCTGGCCTGGCGCCAAACAAGGATGAAACTTGCTCAGAACAGATCATTCATTCACTGGCTGAGTCGAGTGGTCATCACACACACGGGGATTATGGAATAGAGTTCCATCACGGACAGATATTGCTTTTTCGGTGGTGTGAGATATTATGGGATATTATGAGCATGTTTTTCAAGGGGTCGAATCCGCTTTCCTAATAGAAATATTGATAATTTAATGTTCGGAGCGGGTATCACAGGAGACAACTGGCAAGAAGGTTTATTCAAGACCGCTTTAGGTTGAAGCTATTTGATTACACAATTGCCTCTTCTGAACACGCAGCACAACCTACAACAAGCAGTCGTGAATGCAGGTACAATATTTGTGCGCACTGATATCACAGGTCCGAGTAATATGCATCTGTTTTGCACTGAAGATCATACTCTTCACTTTGAAATTGCTATCTAGCTGTAATATACAGACGTAAATGATTCCATCTAAGTCAAACCAGCCATTTCTTCATCGTCGTCCGCATCTTCAACACGTGGCTGCCTATGATCCCCATCATGTCCCTCTGAATGATTCAATGCAGATATTGGATCATTGTCGTCCTCCTCAGATTCGGTGTTGTCCCGGAAATTTTCTGGTGTTCTCCAAAAGCCAAGATATTGCAAGATTCTTGAAGCTGCAGAAAGTGATGGTCCTCGTGGTCGTTCTGCTGATCCTTCTTCAGCATCTTCCTCCAGTTCCCCTTCCGGTAATCCTTCTGCAAAATTCCTTAATCGTTCAAGTGCCTCTTCTTCATTCTCTAATTCATCGCCACCACCGATTTCATCACCCCCTTCTCTACGGCTGCGGAATGCTTCTAGTCCTGGAAATCCTGGCATGAGTCGTGCGAGAGCCGCGAGCGGATCATTAAATCTATCTTCAACGGGTTCGTGCTCATTTCCTAGAGTTCTTCTTTGAGATGGGTAGGAGATGGTATTCGAATAAGGTGGCAATGGATCTGAATCCGAATTGTTGCTTCTATGGAGGAGCTTCGATGGGACGAGACTCATCAGATCTGGTTGGTTTTCCAAATAAACAAACCTAACAACATCGAGATCTAGTTCCCTAACGTCCGATAGCAGGGGGGTTTCTGATAAATCGGGCTTATCAATTGTATGCGCAATTTCCATGAGTAATGCAGTAGACTCGGTAGTATTCCAAAGATCTTTTGTTTGGAGAATATATAATTTCGTGAAGAAAGTATCAGAAGCAGTTGGTGGTTGGGTTCCCCAAATTGACGGAGGTGCGTCAAGGTTTAGTTCTTGGAATAGTTGACAAAATAGCCAAGGTACCTGTTGCATAGATTCTGATAGAAGACTTCTACATTTCACCGCGTCCTTAAGTTGTTGCGCAGCCAGAGCAAATGATGGCTTGGCGTAATTTATTGTGTTTTCCCACTCGGGTATATTTCGACTGGCGGCAAAGTCCAAAAGCCACTGAAACTCATGTGCACGTAAAGCAAGATGGTGTATCATCCATCTCATGCAATATGGATCAGTTTCGGGATCCAAACTCAAGAGCAGTTTTGCCCATTCAAAAGCAGTTCGATAAGTTCCCTTCATAATGAGAGATTTTATGTAGTGATATCCAGCCAACCAAAGTTCTCGATTCTCTGGTCTACTAAAATCTAATCGAGCTTTGCCTTTGGCCAATTTAGTACCAAAGGATGATAAAGATATCCGACCAAATGTAAAAAGAGCTCTTTCGACAAGATCCGATGCTAGAGAATGGTCCCCTTGATTCTTTGCAATCTTGCTGACTTGGAGAAGGAGTGAAATATTGTACGCTGTCGTTGGTCAGTTAAAAGCTATGTGAAGTATAGATTGTACTCACGATATCTCACTATGAATCTGATAAGATTTTGCGGATCACCCATTTCAACCAGACCATTAAACGTTTCCTGCACAGCTTGGTATGATTGATCATGCACAAACCTGTATTCTATGGTGCCGTCAACAACATCCTGGTTTTCGACGACTTCCATCGTTAATCCACCCGAGCTAGATTTTGGCCACTCATTCTTCCCCTGGATGAAGAGGTTACGCCGCAAGGTAAGCTCTGGAAGCCCTTTGCCAGGTGGATGGTGTCCCTTCAAGACCGTCTCTAAATCCATTTCTTGATTATGTTGTCTTCTTCTGGCTCCACGGCCAGTAGGTCCCCCAGGATCTTCATTTGGCTCTGTAGCAGCTCGTCCAAACAAGCTTCGCATTTCGTTTGCAACTTTAAGATGCTGCGTGTTGATACCCAAGAGAAAACAAACTCTTTCATATTCTTCATCCACTTCGATTGAACTCGTCATATTTGTGGCATTTGGTTTCTTCAAATTTAACTCTTTTAAAGCTTGATCGATATCATCCAAATCGTTCTTCGGTTTAGCTTCAGCTGCTTTTACGGGGTCTTTCCCTTTTCCAGCATTTTTTGCCTTCTTCTTCTTCTTCTTTGACTTTTTGGGTTTCTTCGCTGTCACAATTGGTGTGGGTTCGATCAGTTCGTCTTCCGCTGACTCTTCTTCTTCCTCGACACCCTTCGACTCGTCATCGTCTTCCAAATCTTCTAACGCCGCGAAATTCGCAAACAAGCTGGGTTTTGATTGTGAAGACTGCGGCTCTTCATCGGATTCTTCTTCTTCTTCTTCTTCTTCTTCTTCTTCTTCTTCTTCTTCTTCTTCTTCTGCCGCTTCCTCTTGAGCTTGAAGTTTGGCTTGTTGTTGCAGCTCGCGCTGTTGTTGTAACTTTCGTAATTGCCTACTCGACATGATGAGGGAGGGTGGGGAGTTGTTATTGGAATGATCCCAATGGATATCAAGGTGTATGCGTAGAAGTATGAGAACAAGAATGGCAATGAATATGAATGTGGATGTGGATGTGGATGTGAATGTGAATGTGCAAGAATTGACCAAAACAAAGTAGCGGTCCTATTCTATTCTAGAATCTTTCATCGGTTCCAATAAAAATTGAACGGGGAATGACGCATTTGATTCACTTACCTACATTTCATAGTCTCGAGCTAGTGGGGTTGATAGACTGGTGGACCGATGGTGGACCACCATGATCGATAGAGATTGCTTACCTTGCTTACCTTGCTTACCTAATTACTTGATTGGTCATGTTTCGGGTTGAGCAGAGAGCAGGATCCATTTTACTGCTGGCAAGACCTCGCAGACTCTGATACACAGACCCAGTGAGAAGGGAGGTAGGTAGTACTTGTATATAGTAGTACCTGCTGGTAATTCACCTTGTACTTTCTCAACCATATAATAAGAATTTCTAGCAATTACCTACCCAGTATGTTATATTGATAAAGAGGTATACTAGGTAGTCAGTCGTCTTTTTGGTCTTTTTGGACTTTATTAATATTTCTACCATTTCTACCATTTCTACCTTTTCTACCTTTTCTACCTTTTCTACCTTTTCTCTACCCGCAACCATTATCATTCTCTCAATTGCCGTAATATCAATCACTACCTTACAACTCCTCCATCCATACTCCGTCCGCCCAACCACCCACCCCTCTCACGGTCCTGGCAATATCCGGGGTACTACCAAAGCGTTATCTCGGAGATCAAGCTTAGCTAAACCCCCCAGGAACTCAAAACTTTGGAATTTCTTACATACTAGAAATCTTCATTTCCAATGCGTCGAGTAGCACTAAAAGCGATTCGCACGGCGAGACAATTACCGGCTCTTCGTAGCACCCGTGGAAGCATTTTTCAACCTTCGAACTATGTTCTAAGTGCACGATATTCTTCCGGTAGAGCTCCCATTCCCAAATCATCAGCATCATCAGCTTCACCACTTCAAACTTCCGTCATCCCAGCCTCGATGTATTGGCGAAGGTTCGGTCTGGCGTTCGTTTCAGGCTTGGTGGGATATGGCGCGTGGTATGCATACAACGAAGACGGAACTCTCACTCAAGAAGCCAGTCCAACTTCATCAGTACAACAATCCCGCGGCTTCTCAACTAGCACAATCTATTCGAAGCCGATCGGGCCCGAAGAGACCGCGGATGCTAGAAAGGCTGTAATTGTCGGCGCAGAAGGTCTTTATACTGACACAATTGAAGGTCCAATTTCAAAGGATACCGACGATTCTGGAAGAAAAGTTTTAGAGATGTTAACACCTGAGCAAGCAACTTCAAAATTGAGAAGAAATGAGGAATCTTATTTTGTCGGTCGTGGCAAAGGAGTTGTGCGATACGATGTCGTTCAAATCCCAAGCAATGACCCAATCGAGGATGATCATTCTGAAAAGATTATTGAAACCAACGAAGCAATTGCCGGACAATCACCCTCGGATTGGATGTTTTGGGGTGTATTCGATGGACACTCGTATGTTTCTATTCCAATTTACAACCACACTCACTAACATCTTAACAGAGGATGGACTACTTCTGCGAAATTACGACAAGTATTGATCAATTATGTCGCTAGAGAACTCAATTCTACCTACCAAGCCTCTCCAAACCCTTCCACCGAAGCCATTGAAGCTGCGATGAAGACCGGCTTCACTCGACTCGACAATGAGATTGTACATGAAAGTGCGCAAAAAGTAATGAAAGGCAATTCGAAATTGGTCGCGGCAGAACTGTTAGCTCCAGCGTTATCAGGATCTTGCGCGCTCCTTTCCTTCTATGATACCAACACCGGACTCTTGCGCGTCGCATGCACGGGTGATTCACGCGCAATCTTAGGAAGACGAAGTGATAGTGGAAAATGGACTGCTAAAGCTTTGTCAATCGATCAAACTGGTAGCAACCAAGATGAAGAAGCTAGGATGAGGAAATTACATCCCGGAGAGGATCACGTCATTAGAAATGGTCGTGTCTTGGGAGGTCTTGAGCCAACTCGCGCATTCGGCGACGCAACTTATAAATGGACTCGTCAAGTTTCAGAGAGACTAAAGGAATCTTTCTTTGGAAGAACACCATCTAGCCTTCTTAGAACCCCACCGTACGTCACTGCGGAACCTGTAGTAACAACTACCAAGATTCAACCGGAGAGTGGAGACTTTGTTGTGATGGCTACGGATGGACTCTGGGAGATGCTCTCAAACGAAGAAGTAGTCGGCTTGGTTGGACAATGGATTGATAAACATTCAGCCGATTCAAATGGAAATTCCGCAAGTTCATGGACAAAAATGTTTACAGCGTCGCAAAAAGGACTACCTGTAGAAACGAGTAAAGATGATGGTAGTAGTGGCCAAAAAGCCCCAATTCGACAGCGTCAATGGGGTGTCACTGAAAGCGATAGATTTGTTGTTGAGGACAAAAATGTAGCCACACACTTGGTACGAAATGCATTAGGCGGAAAGGATAAGGATATGGTTTGCGCTTTACTGTCACTACCTGCCCCTTATTCTAGAAGATACCGGTATGTTGCGCTCTCTACGCCGTTGATCCCAAGAACCATGCTAACAAATTTATAGTGATGATCTTACAGTAGAAGTCATCTTCTTCGGCAACGGACCAAAATCTGGCGATATTATTGTCAACAAGGAAGCAAGCGCGAGCGCAAACAACGTCAAGCCCAAACTATAAGATAACTTTAGATTCAAAGAGAAAGACTATTTCTACTTTTCAGCGTGTATTATTAAGCATTTAGCTTTTATATTGGATTTCAGGAAGGACAAAGGGAATGATTGGTATGGATGGATGGTGGTAATATACCCAGCGTACTGGTCAGTGAGTTTCAAAAGACTCGAAGTCATGAAGGACTTAAACTATTGTCAGCTATAATTGCGAATGGTATATGAACTCTTTGGAGCATTTTCATGGTGCTAATGTTGTGAGTATTCAAATGTGGATATGAATATGAGCATGTCCCTACTGGCTGTTAGAAACTTGTTAAGAGAGGCTCAAAGAGTTCGACAGAGAAGTATTCTCTTGATTTCACTGTCAATTGTGCTCAGGTACCTTGCTGGCTATGACTTTTCGGGCCGATGTATCTATCTGTTTACTGGGAACTATTTGTTAGTAGCAAATGTCTGACATCCAGTATCCAGCGACAAGAGAGACAGAGCGATCTCAAATGCTGATTGTCAGACTCCGGAGATGTCCTCATTGGCTTATACTTGAGTACCCGATGAATTCGTTTTTACTTCATCTTCTCTCGTCAAAATCTGATGATTGTTTGTTTTCAAGCAAAGCATGCAGTTGTCACAGATGTGGCGGATGCTACAAGGATGGTTTAGGGCACAAACTTTTACTGCGTCAATTGACTCGAAAGCGAATAATCTTGATTCTTCTGGAATTTAATTTAATGTTTTTTAAAAGTTGAAAATTCGAAACTTCGCAAGGGTGATTCCGAACTCATTTGGCCATGCGACAATCTTATCCCCCCTTCTGACTCTGCTTGACTCTTCTTTCTTCCAACTCCTGCAAAAACTCTTCCTTTTTCCTGTCCCTCAGGGTGATGATGTGCTTATCAAGACGCTCTTTCTGTTGACTAGCAACATAGTTATAATATCTGTTCCTTTCTTTCGAATCATGAGGTCTTCTTCCCAATTCCTTCATCGACTTCTCTTTCACGCGTTCAATCAGGACTTTGACCCGCTTATATTTCTCAAAGGTAAGATTCAGCGCCTCCAATTGATTGAAAATCGTCGGAACATTGATCGAACCCACATCTGCTTCATTCTCATCAACGCTTAAAACCTGCTGGAACTTTGCCATCAAAGTTTCGGTTTGTCCATTGGCATCCTTGAGTGATATATCTATGTATATGATCAACTCTCTCATCGTTTCATCATAGCCCCCCCAATTTTTGTCTTTAGTTCTACCTCGACTAAATCGTTCAAAGAATTGGTACGCGGAGGGAAAATCATAATTATCCCATTCCCACTTTTTTGCTTCTTTGGTCATACCGGACTCGGCTTTCCTAAATGCCTTTTCAAGATCTTTCCTATCTCTAACGGCCGAGTCGACAATGTTCGAAAATACATCTTTCATCCTCCATATATTTCTCATCCTTAGCTTTAATCGTTTGTAGTGACTGATCCAAATTGTGCCCACTTTTCTACAATCTTCTAGATTTAGATCGGCACGTTCATCTCCAGGCTTCACTTTGGCGAGTTCTTCCCTGAGATGATCTGTTTCTCGCTGGAAGGTACCTATATAAACATCTATGAACTTTGAAAACCCCTCAATAGCTTCGGAGATTGTCCATGCCTGTTCTCGAACTTTTCGAATCTTGGTGCTTAGTGCTGGAGAATTTTTTGACAGTTCTGGCAGACCCTCTCTTAGTCTGCTAAGTCCATATCGTGAATCGATATATGCATCTTTCAAGACATGAAGCTGAGGACTGATATCCAGATTTGCGAGATCATTTAATGGACTGACTAACTCGTAGGGCTCGAGTTGTTGTGGAATGTGAAAACCGTCGTGATTATCATGTCCGTGTGTGAATTGTTTCTTTTCGCGCCGAAAGTCTTGCTCTCTCTCGTAAACATTTTCATCTTCTCCTTCCTGCAGAAAGTCTTGCTCTCCGCCGTGGGTATATTCATTTTCTCTTTCGTACCCAGGACTTTTCCCCAAGGAGACACGAATATCAATGACGCGGACAATAAGGGCAGTTGCGTAGATAAGAATAATCACCTTGATGAGTCTTCTCACGGAAATGCGATGGTGAACCGCGGTAATGAATTCAGACCATAAAGTTGGTATGATGGCTATTCTCTGTCGCCATGAGGTCTGATCTCTTGGTATTTCCATTCTTTGTGGTAAGACGGGGAAGGAAACTCTTTTTCGTGGGCTCGAAGTTATGACTTTGGAGGCCCGTCGAGTGCTTGATTGTGAGGTTCTGGGGGATTGGGGGGATTCGGGAGGAGTGAAGAAGGTTAGGCGACGAGGGGAAGAACTATTGCTGCCAATTGTAGACATGGTGTTTGAGAGTTTGTTCATCTGTAAGATTTACAGGATAGGTTCATGATTTGTGATGGGGAGGAAATGGGAGAGATTTTTGCTTTGAGAGAATATGAAGGTCTTTATGGGGCTTTTTTATCCGGATTGGGTGATCTAGCGATACTTCTTTAAGCTATTTCATTAATGTGTAACAACTTGATAAAGGTTCAGATCTCTTATTTGATATCAGAAATACTTTGACTCTGGGGTTGAGTTGTATTCAAGAATCCTTTGTCTTCACTATTCTTGATTGAACACTAACTGCAATGTACGTGCAACAAAGATAGATGGTATGTTTTGCGTTTACGACTAACCATCTGCCATAATCAAACAAAGGAAAGCGTTGCGGTCTACAGTATAGCACGATCACAGCAAGAAAAAAATCCTCCCACAGAATTTTTTGGAAGTTTTCGAAAACCACAACGCCGCCAGCCATGGACCCTCGACAAAGTCGCAATGTTCCTAAATATGGCGCCTGGTCAGAGAACCCCCAAATATCAGGACTTACACCCCTCGCCCCTCTTTTCCCCAAACCAAACATGGATCCTGAAGAAATTGTTCTCCGGAATCGAATTGAAGATTTCCAACGAGAGCAATTTGATGGATTCACCGCTCGGGAATTGGCGGATATGGATGTTATCACTGACAGGCAATTGAAAGAGTCTACTCTGGATAATCCCATCATGCCGCTTTTTCAACAGCAGAGATGGGAAATACAACCTCATCAGCCGGATTTGACGAGAGATCATATGTATCCGCTGATAATCGATGGGGTGCAGAGGGGCGATTGGTCAATGCATAATCCGTTGGTGTATGAGAAAATGAAGCCGGTTTTGCAATTGGCGAGTAGGACTATAATGAGCATGTATACATTACCGTGGGTAGGAACTGATCTGCTGTGAAGCATCTGAAGTTATTGAATAAGGCTGATTTAGATAATAGTTCGCAGCTCTGATATTCGGTCAAAGAGTTCCGATAAATCTAGCGAGGATTCGTCCAAAAGATGAAGTGCCGGATAATTTGGTCGCATTTTTGCCATACCATATCACAGATTACAGTGTCATTCGAAAGAAAATGGAGCAGGTATTCGAAGATCTAGAAAAGAACTGGAACTGCAAATTCGGCTTCATGTCACCCGATGAAGATCCTCGCGGTCCAGAATATCCCATTGATCCAGAAGACGAGCTTCCAGATAGTGTATATGGGCTTACCGTAACAAATTATCAATACATGGAGTATCACGAAGCGGAAGATAAAGAATGGCAGATTTATGTATGGCTTGCTTATTCGAGGTTACAATCATTGTTTAGAAATGATCTGACTACTTCGGAGAGGAAAATGGTGGAATGGGCTACTGCTATTACGCTTGTGCATGAGATTATTCATGCGATTAATTTTGTTTGCCCGAGGATTGATGGGACGAGAGTGCAGAATCCGGATGATGAGAATCCGCCGTGGTTTTTTGATGAGGAACCGTTGGCTGAAGCGGGGTTTAGCTTTGAGGTTGCTGTAAGGTTTTTTTCTTCTTTTCGAAATTGGGAGCTTGAGGACTAATTATGGTGGCTTTAGTTGAATGGCGGGACAGTCCGTTCTTTTACGACGGCGGTAAAAGGGATGCCATATGGGCATTGGTTTGAGACGGTGTGGCCGTCGGTAGAGAGTCAGGATCTTTGTGGTTCGAAGAGTATCACGTTAATGAACCCCGGACCTTTTGATTACCAAGAAAAATTCCCAATACCAGCTTCTTTCTATGAAGACATGCAGCAAAGAGAGTTTTGGGATTATACGGTACATAGATTCGGACACAAATTATTTCACTACCGATCAATCAACCATGGCGTTCGTCTCAACTTCAACATCTATACAAAGAACCGAACGCCGATAAAATTTAGAGATATATCAACTATACGTATAGGTCCGGTTACTCCTGAACTAGGCCATGATAATCAAATCCTGAGAGAGAGATGGAAAAGTGTCCATGCAATATTGGGTGCGCAAGGCGAAACCGAAGAGGGCAAAATCGCTTTAAGGTTCGGAATGTCCCTATTGCAAAGTTCCAAAATCGAGAGGTCGTTCTGGACGTATGAAGAAACGCAGCGGAGAGGTGTCGCTGCGATATTTGAACATCTCAGTAAACAGAGCGTCTCGGAAGAAGAACGACTCTCTGATTTTACGCACTTGATTGGATTTATGTGGACGATTGTCCAGAATCACAAAATTAAAATCGACGCTCTCTTAAAATCAGGTCAAGCTGATATTCCGCAAATCCAGGTTCCTTCGGAAGAACGTCGAAGAGCTTTACTTGCGTGGAATAGAGGAACATCCATTTTTGTAAATCAATGTTTGAAAGAATTTCCCAACGCTTCAGAAGATCACAGATTCCAACTTTCGACTCTGAGACTGAGTCTCGAGATCCTGCGCTTGCAGCTCTTTTCTCCGAACCTCCGCGTCGAGACGATTAAATCTGGACCTAATTTCATAGAGCTGGCTTTGTTACTCCATCTGCAGGTTGCATTTCTCAAAGGTGATAGGGTTTTGTGTCGGGATCATGTGAAGAAGATTAGGGAGATAGAGGGATGTTCAATCTTTGCATTTTTGTGTACGTTGTGGATAGATACGGTTATCTATGAGGGATCTGAGACGGATTTGGAGAGGGTAAAGGGTATGAGAGAATTTGAGGCGATGGGAAAGTGGTGGAGAGAGTTATCGGAGAAGAGTAGTGAGGGAGAGTGGAAGGAGATGTTTAGGATTTGGGAGGAGGTGAGGAAGGATGCGGAGCGGACACTTAGGAGCGCGCATCATATGTAGGTGGTTAGGGTATACTGAGGAGCACATGACATCAATGAATCTCATTATTACCGAATGTCCTATCATATGAGAGTAATGGCTCGAAAGGCTTCATGACGGCGGATACGAATGCTTTGAGTAACTACATTATGTGATATCAGATGTATCTCACCACTGAATTCATGATCACAAACCACGTATAGGCTTCAGCTATCCTGTAATACATAATGATATGTCATATCATAAAAGTTAAGATATTCAAACCTCCCAAAGACCCTGATAAGATGACATGGAATGAACGTTCCAAAAAACTCACATATAATGAAATTTAGTAAATACTCCAGAATATTTGAATGCATCCAATTAATTTGAACAATATAATCATTTCCAAGAACTGAACTCGATATGAACAGTCGAGAGTATCTCGTTATTTACCTTGACTTTATATTATAAGATAATTCAATAGAATAAAGTATTGTAAATACCCGATATTGAATTGGACAATCAAGAGTATTCGAATATTTCTATTGACTTCGATAATTACTGATATCTCATTGTCTAGCTTGACTTTATACTTTGAAATGCAGTTTAAAAATGAAGCGTTCTGAATACCTGATCTCATTTTGGACAATTGAGGGTATTCGAATGTTTCTATCGGCGTCATACTACTGAATGTACTAGATATTTTGGGATAATTGGATATATGTGATGGGTTTGAATATTAAAAATGTTTTCATAACTGAAATCGATTTGAAGAACCGAGGATTCATCAACGTGCGATTCGCTTTTAGAATTTCAAATGAGATAGATATTTCAAGTGATTTCATTTTATGGGGGAGGTTTGAGTAATGAGAATGTGTTGAAGATTGGATTCGATTTGGAGAATCAGGGATATATCAATTTGTCATATGGTTTCATGACATAGAATGCATTGGATATCTTAGGACAATTGGACATATGTGAAGAATTTAAATAACGAGAGTTTCTCGAAAGCTGGAATCTACTTGGACAATTGAGAATGTCTAAATGTGTTATTCAATTTCATAGGATTAAGTGCATTAAATAAATTGAGATAATCAAATACGTGTAAGGAGTTTGAAAAATGAGAAAATGTCAAAAACCAGCTTTGATTTGAACAATTGAGACTATCTGAATATATTACCTAGTCTACAACTTCAAGTGTACTAGATACTGTAAAATAATCGACCACATATGTCGGATTTCCATGATAAAATTAGTTCAATCTGTCAATTGATTCAAACAATCAAGATGGATCATTCTCACTATTCAGTTTGATTATTATAAGTCTTTTAGTGCATGGAAGAATGATGTAATGTCCCTCGAGATCTAGACACTCCAATAACTTTATCTGTCGCTTAGAGTGAGGGAGCCGAGAAATGATAAACAAACCATAAGTATGAAAGCTTAGCAACTTTCTTTGGTTCATCTATGTAGTATATTATGCTAATAGTTGTTTATATGGTTTATTGATGATTTATTTGTTGTTTTGGAGTGTCAGAATGACCAAATGTGTTTCTGGGAACTCGAGAATGACTAATTTGATGTCGTTAAGCTCTAAATTTCAACAAACTTTATTGTATTTTCCCGTTTTATTGTATTTTTAGAACTTCAATAGCATTTTAATGGTAAACGGAATGTATTATGCAACAAAATCGACATGTGCTGGCCTAATCTATGGCATTGAAGTGCGATTTAGGATAGCTTATAGTCACAAAAGAGTTATTTGTGATGATTTCACTTTCAAGCCAGGTGTCACAAGGTTGATTATCGAATTAAGCGTTTTATTCTCATAAATAAACCATTCCAAGCAGTGAAACCACAAATTAACCCCCTTCCACACCATCCCACCACAAAATGGACAATAACCACCCCCAAGCCGCTCCTAGCGCACAACCAGCGTTTTGCCAACTCCCAGGTCATATAAACATCCAAGCCGCACCTCTTCCCCCCTACCCCCTCTACTATCTCGGCCTCCCAGTCCCCCAATTCACAACCCTCACCCAAACCAACGCCTGGATCAACCACCCCATCCTCCACCCCAATTTTGACCCTCACCCCCTCCCTGATGATCACCCAGCCGTTCCCTATCCAGCTGAGCCTGGCATGCAATGGCTAGGCTACATAGCTCCTTCTGCCGGCCGCTATATCCCAATGGATAACCCCGCGCATTGTACAAATCCATACGATATCAATGGAGCACGTGGATTCCCTCCACACACCCCTCCAGCACATCCGGTATATCCTCCTCCTATCCTCCCCCCTCAAATCACCTACCAACGACCAGCTAGCCATCTAGCTCCAGCTTTACGCCCCCACCATCCTCCTCCACATGATTCTCGCTTCGCACCCCCTCCTCCTGTCGGTTACCTTGCTGGTGGTCTCCCAGGCCTTCAAAACAGCCTTCTAAATACCAGTCATGGTCTAAATGGCCCCCCTATCGCCAATTCAATGGCTAATTTGGCCGTTACTGGCTACCGTGACGAGAACAATCTGGTAGCGATGGAGAATCAGCGAATCTTGAGGCAGATTGATATTCCGGATGAACCAGAGAGGATGGAGGAATTCTGTGAGGGAACCAGGAGAGAAGCGGAGAGACTGCGGCCTATTTGGGAGATGGAGCAAGGTAGTGGTGCTTTGAGTAGTTTTGGTCCTATGAGTGCAAATACCGGGGGTAGTAGTGGGGAATGGGGTGACGGAGAGGTTAGAGATAGTGGGGAGGAAGAGGATAGCCTCAGTGAGAGTGACATTGATTACGACGGATAAAGCCTTTTTTTCTGGTGTTTTTGTGCTTTGAGCACTTTAATGTGTACCCTGAGATCATTTTTCATGTTATTAAAAGGAAAGTAGACTCTGGAAAGGGATTAGGCCGCATTAATAGCTTTATTATATACAGAATATTCTTTGAAGCTATGAATGATGAACTACAGGGCAGTTCTGTGGGTGAAAGTATATACAAGAAAACGCTTCTTCTCCTCAAATAGATAAGTTAAGAAGTATGCCTATTTCAATACTGACCACACCAGCCCGTTCCAGCAAGTAAATGAAAAGAATAATAAACCTATACATGTGATTAGATTCTACACATTCTCTTGGAGAGAATAGGACTTACGCTTGGTAACCCATTGAAAAATGGCACATCCATTCCACCATACTCATCGATCATTACATTCCTACAACTCAACACATCCGTCACCATCGATCCAGCTTCAAATCCCACATTCTTCATCTCAACCGTGTAATCTTCTGCACTCTCACCAATATTGTTCAGCACCATTAGAGTCATGCATTTTCCATCTCCCTTCCGAAATGCAACATTATGTGGGTCTGAGTAGGCGACTTGGGTTTGATCAGTCGCATATGTATCTGAGCGTGCTATTGCCAGATAACGTATAGCATTTAATTGCTTGACTAGAACATAAAGTGGGGAGCTGTTATCATAGCCTGTAGGCCATATTGGCTCACGATCATAAGGATCAGTTGCGCCTTGGAAATGTTGTTCTTGACCTTGATAGATTATTGGTATGCCATCGGCTAAGATCGTGTATGTGATGATATTTCTAGCCAATGTAAGATCACTAGTATAATTCCCAAAGCGGGGTTGATCGTGGTTCTCAGTGAAGGATCCGAGAAGTGTTGTGTCTTTACATCGATAATTTTGGGACTGCAGTTGCCCTATTAAGTTTTCTGACGTTGCGGAGGTGTTGGAAAAGAATTTTGTGAGTTGGTAATACGATGCGTACGAAAGTAGTCCATCCATGTAGTCTTGGTAAGGACATAGATAATCTACATCTCCATCTGCTACTTCGCCCACACAATAAACACCAGCTGCTTCATTGAATAAAGGCCAGAAATCTTTTTCCACATGTCTAACAGTGTCTACTCTCAATCCATCAATTGAGTAATTTGATACTAGTGACTTGACCCAAGTAGTGAAGAGATCTCGAACATCTTGTCTAGTAGTGTTTAGATCTGGCAATGGATACTTCTCCGTTCCAAGTTCGCATAGTTCGACATTCGTCTGATTTTTGTAGTCGTTAATAAAGCAGACATCATGAAAGTATTTGCTATCGTTAAATGGATTCATGATGCTGAAATCGACACTATGCGCAGTATCATCAGATCCCATATGGTTCGCCACGACATCAACCATCAAGTACTGCCATAATTAGCTATCTTTATATATCCTCACATTTTATTGAATCTTACCATTCCTCGATCATGAAGTGCGTCAGCTAATGCTTTCAGATCCGATGCGTCTCCAAAGTGACTGTTTAGACCATACAAATTCTGAGCCGAATACCCGTGAAAACCTCGACCTGGATCCGCGACTTGTTCGACAACTGGTGATATCCAAATTGCCGTGAATCCCATATCCTAGTAGAGTATTAGTACCTAAGACTTTACTATTGCATGGCTGCACCTCTCCTCTCATACCTGGATATAGTCAAGCTTGTTGATTATGCCTTGCCATGTCCCACCACAATATCCCCTAGTTTGAGAAGGGCAATCCGTAGTATTTGTAACATCTGTTCTAGCGAAGCGATCTGTAAGTACTTGGTAGATTGAACGAGTCCTCCATTCATCAGGTGTCGCTGATTTAACGTCGTTCAAAGAAGCAATGCCTAGCAAGGCGCCTAACAACATTTTAGAAGAAAACATTTTCCGGCTTTTCTTCTATCACGAAAATTAAGATGAATGAAAATTCTCGTGAGAAGAACGGTTTAATAAACGTTTACTAAATCATTTGCAATGTCGTTGAATAGGCAGTACAGCAGGAATTATCGTGAAGAAGTACTTGCAACAAATGTGCCTGGTACAAATGTCAAGCACGGAATGAAAGCTCACAGGAAACATCACAGGAAGGCGACCATGAGCAGCCGATCTAGTAACCTTAAGCAGGTAGATTTTTGATTAAAGGCACGAGTAAATCCTTTCGGAAGGTTGCAGTGTACCTTTGCCCCAAATGGGAAGGTTACAGAAACATGGTTGGTGATCCTTTTGCGGACGACCCACCTCAAGCGATCTGCGGGAAACCAACAGACCTGCACATCACAAATTCTCCATTAGAAATGTTGTTGTCACAGCTTATTTTTGAGAATAGGTATCCATGCTCGAATATCTGTGACAATGATCAATCGGTCCGATGAGAACTGAATGTTGCGGACGTCACGAGTGTAGTATTGTAGTTCAATTGCATATCCGTCGTTGAAGACTGCAGGAAGCAGGAGCGGAAATGGATTATGCTAAGAATGTTTCAGACAACATTTCAATGATTGAAATTAGTATTTGTTCTATTCATATGCGTCTTGAGCGTCATGTAACTTGACAAAATCGAGAAAGCAACGAAATGCAGATACATCGTTACGCATTGGGGGATGAAAATTCTTCTCAAGCTCCCTGCTCACTCTGAGGTGTTGATGCAGAAGAAGAAACCTTATCTGGAAAGGATTTTTGATCTTTTCGATTGGAAATGTAGCTACTGAGAGATATCGGAAACACCCTTTCTTGTTTCTTGAATGATTTTCTCGGCTGGCATTACGCTTTTAATCAGCCCAACCCCAGTACCGGAATATGCAACCATCCTGCCATGTGAGCCCCAAGCCTTATCACCATCTTTCAACTCTTTCTTATACAAACGAACATTTTCATCGTCTGACATTCCAGCTTTCTCGTCTTCATGGCCTTTATTGAGTAAAGCGCGACCATCATATTGTGTTGGCCATCCCACTGTTGTCTTCAATCGGTCGCATAAAGTAGACCTTCCGGTACTAAGACCACCATCTACTGCTTTTACAAGCTCCCTTTGCCAGCCTTGAGGAATGCCTGATTCTTCAGCCGCTAGAAATCTGGTACCCATCACAGCTCCTGTTGCTCCCAAACACATTGCAGCAGCAACACCTCGTCCATCCATGATTCCGCCCGCTGCAAGTAGTGGTATGGAATACAATTCCGATTCTCTATCTTTAAGTGCATCTGCAACTTCAGGAAGCAATGAGATGACACTGGCTGATCGAGCTAGACCGTGGCCACCAGCATCGGAACCTTGAATGACCAGTACATCAGGTCTCGCCGTATCCACAACATCCAAGGCTTCCTTGACAGTACCAACCTGTACCCAGATTGAAACATTTCCATGACTGATAGATCTAAGTTCTTGAGCCCATTCTTTCAAGTCTTCCGTTCTTTTCGGTGCGTAAAGCCATACCGCTGAAGGTTTGTGTTTTCTTGTAGCTTCAACAGCGACATTGATTTTACAGCCCCAATTCTGGAAGCCAATCCCAATAGGAAGACGATCAAATGTCTCTATTTTCGAAGGTTTCCGACTAGCAGCTTCAAACAATGACCTCGTAACGGTAAGCTTTTGATGGAGATCCGCCCCATCGTTACCCCCTGCAAGGAATCCTATACCACCCGCCAGACTCACATTTGTCGCGAGAGCAGGCGTGGCAGCACCCAACATTGGCGCTGACACGATCAATGGATATTTAATCCATGGAAAAGCCTCTAACATACGTCGCCTAGCTATTTGTAAGGACATTGATGACATTTTGATGGTTTAGATATCTGTCGCGTGGTTTGTTGCTTTAGACTTTGCCTTTCGATAGCATCATGTATGATTTGTGTCTGAATCAAGGTTGGGAGTTTCGAAAGTTAATAATTAACAGTAGAATCACAAATCCCGTTATTACGTTCTATGATTTAAAGAGGAAGAGAATTCAGTCTCCTGCACGCAGTTAAACCCTTCAGATGATGCTTCAATGAATCTGAGAAGCAGGGTACTCATGTGCTTACTAATCTGGCAAAAGGATCAGACGCGTAGATGTCACGGGGATGTCACGGGCCGTGATACCCGCAGTTTAGCATTCGAATCTTCAATACATTCTTCCGAAGTCACCCGGTGTCCCGTTGCATTGATAAACATTGATAACGTCCCGGAAAGTTAAGATGGACAACTCCCCGGAGATGCTTCAACCCCTGGTGGATATTGTACATAAAGGATCAGGATGCAATATCTTCATGTCAGCGGTATCCCTCACTCGGCTCCCAAAACATGCCACTGTTTGTCGTGATAAACCAATTACAATCGAGGTATATGTATGATTACAATGCAATACGATGAAATCAGGTCAGAAAATTTTCATGGTCACGACAGGGGAATGTTCTACTGACAGAAGTTTGTAATCATGGTGCTCGAGGTGGAATTCATACATAAGGATCTTGGGGCCAGTATGTCCAGAATGTTTGGATGTCTAGAATCATCGATACCGGAAAACAGTCACACAATCTACTGGATAATCGAAATCTTACGATGTCACTCACACCTCAGCAAATCGACATCATAAAGGCCACAGTGCCTGTGGTCCAAGAGTATGGAACTACCATTACTACCACCTTTTACAAAAACGTTCTCGACGCGAATCCAGCACTAAATAACATCTTCAACCAAACAAACCAAAAGAATGGAGCTCAACCACGTGCTCTGTCAGGTGCTCTCGCTGCTTATGCTGCCAATATTGATAACCTCGCTGTACTCTCGGATGCAGTGGAAAGAATATGTCAAAAGCATGCCTCATTATTTATCCGACCAGAACACTATCCCATCGTTGGAAAATACCTCCTGGAAGCCATGGGCCAGGTACTTGGCGCAGCATTGACGCCAGAAATCCTAGACGCGTGGACGACTGCCTACAACCAGTTGGCCCAGATTATGATTGATAGAGAAGCGCAATTATATCGAGAAGCTGGCGAATGGAAAGAATGGAGAGACTTCAAGATCGCCAAGAAAGTCAAGGAATCCAGTATTATCACCTCTTTCTACCTAGAACCCGTGGACGGAAAACCTCTCCCTCTTTTCAAACCGGGCCAGTACATCTCAGTTCAGGTTCATGTACCAGACTTCGGGTATCTGCAATCCAGACAATACTCGTTAAGTGATCGTCCAAATGAGAAATACTACCGCATCAGTGTGAAACGTGAGGATGCCGTTGTCTTACCAGAAGTCAATACACCAGTTGAAGCAGGTGTGATTTCAAACACTCTCCACGATTCAAAGAATGAGGGTGATACCGTCCAGGTATCTCCACCCCAGGGAGAATTCTTTCTCGATCTGCAAAAGAACGTCGACTCTCCCGTAGTGTTAATTTCCGCCGGAGTTGGCCTCACACCCATGGTATCGATACTCAACACATTGGTAGAAAAAAGAAGCACGCGGCTAATATCATATATCCACGCAGCACGCAGCAAAGAAGTTGACGCATTCCATGCCCATATCCAAGAGATCGCTTCATCGCATTCGAATATCAGATCCTGGGTTTTTGTCAAGAATCTACCAGCGGATGATTATGGGCATCCAGTTAAGGATCTAGCGGGACGAATGGACCTATCGAAAGTTAAGGCTGATGCGTTGCATTTGGATGATTCCTCGACAGTCTATTTCATTTGTGGTCCGGGGGGTTTTATGGATGATATGAGTAAGACTTTGCAGACATCTGGAGTGAGCGAAGATAGGATTAAGTTGGAGGTGTTCGGGACGGGAGAAGCTCAGTGAGGGATCATAGTCGTAATGGATGATGTATAGATGATGGGAAGTGTATATAGAAGATCTCCAGAAGTTTGAACTCCACTAATATTCAAGATACCAAGAAAAATATTCTTACAGTCAATTGCCGCAAGATTTCCTCGCTCATATCTATAATTCAGGAAATACATAGTCTTCCGTCTATAATACTTGCGATCTACGATACATTTGATTTAATAGTTTCACAGTCCCAAGACTTTATGGAGGTAGGTTTTTTGAGTCATTATCTCAGACACGGTAAGTTCTCACATCGAAGTAATAAGTTTCAGAGTAGTCGATCTCCATTCAAACGAGCTAATGGAGTTTAAGGATCTACCACAATAACTCGTTGAGAGTCTCACTTGGGTAGGTATTATAGTCTTGTAATAGACATACAATTGTAAAAGAGTTTGAGACAAGTGGGGTATATTATCTTTGGGAATTGCTTTATGTTCCGATTGATTGAGGTTCTACGTAAGGGTATGTATTTGGAATAATTCTAGAAGATAGATGGACGAATATATAATCCAGATCTGTAGCATTAACAATTCCACACCTCTTCCATACCTACGAGAATGATCCCTCCAGCGCAATTGTTTTTGTCCCGCTCCCCTAACTCCCCGCAATAACCGGACGCGCATCATCTGTAGGAGGTAATTGACCATGATCTGGAAGTGTTGATTTATTTGTTATCGGAGTTTCATATTTAATAAAGATTGAAATTTGAGTCAATCGCTAGAGTATATAAAGATTTTCCCAGGACTGGCCTTGATGCGGAAACATATGTTTTAAAATATCATTGTTGACGAGACTTGTATTTGCCATCCGCAGCCAAACATCTGATGATATGAGTATGAATGAGCCCGAAAAACAAACGCAGGATGCTCAATTCTCAAACACCAGTACCGATACCGAATCTCACTCCCAGACTCCACCCCCCAATCCAACAAATCCCGAACCCCCTCCGGATGGGGGATTCACAGCTTGGCTGCACGTTTTTCTCACGCATCTCGTCTTTTTCAATAGTTGGGGTTTCGCAAACAGTTATGGGATTTTTCAGGAATACTATTCCGTCAGTCTAGCTCAAACTTCTTCATCCATCGCTTGGATCGGCAGCGTTCAAGTGTTTCTCCTATTATTCGTCGGAGTGATAGGTGGTCGAGCGTCAGATGCTGGCCATTTCAATCTCGTCTTTAGAATTGGTGTATTCCTACAATTACTGGGTGTCTTTATGACATCCTTATGTAAGAGCTACTGGCAGGTATTTCTGGCTCATGCGGTCTGTGTTGGTTTAGGGAATGGATTGTCGTTTTGTCCTGCTCTGTCTGTTTTGTCGACGTATTTTAAGAGGAATAGGGTGTTAGCCGTGGGTCTTGCAGCGGCGGGAGGAGCAAGTGGAGGTTTAGTGTATCCGGCTGCCGTGCATGTACTGATTGGAAAAGTTGGGTTCGCGTGGACGTTGAGAATCGTAGGGTTCATTATGTTTACAGCTCATATCCCTTCACTTCTTTTCTTTAAACCAAGATTACCTCCTTACAAAGCGGGTGCGTTTGTAGAATGGGCGGCATTCAAAGAACCTGCATATACCTTTTTTACCATGGGAATGTTCCTGAATTACTGGGGTCTGTATTTCGCTTTTTTCTATCTGGGAACATTCGCTCGCGACCGCTTGGGCGTTACGACTGAAACCTCTGTCAATCTCCTAATGATTTTAAATGGGATTGGAATCATCGGACGCATTATCCCAAACCTCATCGGAGATCGGATCACTGGACCCTTCAACATCCTCACCCCATTCAGTTTTGCAGCATGCATTTTAGTTTATTGTTGGGCGGCTGTCGATTCAATAAGTGGAATAAATGCTTTTGCCATTATATATGGATTTATTGCAGCTGCCTTGCAGGCGCTTCTTCCGGCTACTGCTACAACATTGACGGCAGATCCAAAGAAAACGGGGGTGAGGTTGGGTATGATTTTCAGTGTTGTTAGCTTTGCGTGTTTGACTGGGCCACCGATTTCCGGTGCGCTGATTCAGGTTGGAGGAGGAAGTTATCTTTATGCGCAGATCTTTGCTGGAACGTCGATTGCGCTGAGTGGATTGTGTCTTGTAGCTTCGAGGGTATCGAAGTCTGGATGGAATTGGGTTAAGGCCTAGGTCTCTTCCTACGTGAATGAATGGAATTCGGAATGATCAATTGATGCCACTTTCAAAATAGCGTTTGATAAGATTTTGATAAGGCAGTAAATAGATAGAGTAGGATCAACTAGACGACTGAATTGTTGCTCATTTGTGAAGAAGTGACAAACGAAGCTTCGGTGAATGCCGAGGATTAACCTTTGGTCGCATCTAAATTACGTAATGCACATGCAGCAAATCGTCTCCACCATAGCTCTGCCATGTCAGAGCATCAAATGGGTCTCAAAATGTGATCACTCAAGAAGGTAGGGAAAATTTTCGTTTCTCTATCTCAGCTGTTTGTTATCTTCGTTGGGAAATTCTCTAGCTGCCATGACAGACTCACCATTGAAGCGTAAACGCTCTCGAATAGCCTGCGAACCTTGTCGTGACCGCAAAAGAAGATGTGACGGCGGTCAACCATGTGATTCTTGTGTTCGATTCGAATACGAGTGTCAATACAAGAACTATTCCGGACATAGCAAAAGACCTAGACACAATCATGAGCAATCATCATTGTCGGCTCCCGCGAAAGCAGAATCCTTACCTCCTCCATCAATAGAAGCTAATTCCGGTGCAACTTTTGCCCGGCAATTGGCGCTGAAAATTGATCCTCAGAATGCACCGAGATTGAATCTGTTTTCATGGAATATTGGAGAGAGGTATAGCAATACCAGATCTAAGCGGGTTTCAACATTATCAACGGAAGATATATCGAGCACGGGCATCGTGGATGAATTGTCTGCGTTCTACTTTGAAAAGGTGGACATTTGTTACAATTTCATTGATCGGGCAAAATTCTTTCAAAGATGGAAGGTTCGACAACTTGTCAAGAACGAGAGAAAGCCATTTGATGCAATCTTGTTTGGGGTGACGGCACTTGGAAGTCTGTTTTCTAATCGGGTTGCACCTTTCTTAGAACTTCAGCTTGTTGAATCTGCGCGGTCAATTCTAGATGAATATTCCGGAGAAACACCAACAACAGAAACAATCACAGGTCAACTTCTTAGGGTTGTCTATTTGCGTATGACTGCATCACCTCATGTCGCATGGATGTCTAGTTGTACGTTGATGCACATGATTGAAGCAGCAGGTCTTCATATCCCGACTACCACAAATGATCCTTCAATACAACCAGCAGTAGACAGCAATTCAGAGTTACAATGGAGACTATTAGGTGTAGCACAGCATCTAAATACTTGGATCTCCTTTGATCTTGGACGGTCTAGGGTAGTACTCCAAGGAGGAGTGCCTTCGGTCCTCCCATATCTGAATCACCAAGATTCAACGAAAGAGCTTCTTAGCTTATTGCCCATGTCCGAAGCTTTGGATCCAATTAACCAGCAAAATGCATCTAACCTCGAATCTGCATTTGTGCAAGTCTTGGATAGCAGTCACATACAGCCGCCATCAGTAATGGCTCAATGTAATCTGATGCTCTGCATCTACCGACGTCTTCGCGCTTTGAATCTCACTGTCTCTTCGGAACTCTTAGACCGAGCTCTGACGCTTATGAGTAAAGCTTTACGCTGTGCTAGAGATATGGTCAGAACAAATTGTCCCTGGCATCATATGGCTAACGTACCGTTCCAAATAATCTGCACACTCCTCGCTATCGACAACCGAAGTTCATTATCGAGACTCGGAGACGCAATGAAGACTCTTGGGGAAGTATCAACCGCATATGATACGAGTGTAATGAGAGAAGCATACAAAACTGCTCGATTACTAGTTTTGCTTTCTCAAAAAAGGAAAGAGGATGATACGAAGATGCTTAGTGAAGTCATGAAGGCTGATCCACTACCACCTGTTGACCCTACAATGGATAGAAGTAGCAGTCAAACGCTACAGGATATCGGGTATGGTGATCCGTGGTTGGAATCACTTCTTGCGGATATACCAGGACTAGAAGACATCGAAACACAGTTCTCGATGCCTAATACGTCATGGACATTCCAAGGTTCAAATGCGTAAGGGTAGTTGCAAAAGAAAAGGACAACCTACATAGAGATAAAGATTTCTCGAACCACAAAAGAAGGCAAGTGGCTGCAGTACAAAAGATGTTCCCATTAGCAATATTGAATAGCAAATTGGAACATCAAGAACAACCCATTTCTTTCTATCTATCTTCTCGCAAATCACGCAGATTACACATCCAAATTGGATTCATAAATCAATCTCCTATTTCTCAAACCCGATACTCAGCACCACCTGGCAAAATATCGTTCCGTTTAACCTGTTTCTGTCTGTAATATTAACTTTCGCGCGTAGCATCTTCCACGATTCCATTGGATTCAACTTTGACAACAAAGCCATTCTTAAAAGAAGATGTGTGATTCTGATATTGAATACTTTTGCAGAAATGGAGATGACAGATTTGTGTGGATATGATCAGAGTACAATATAAATGCAAGAAAAGGCTTGAATGAATGAACATCCTCGCCTCTCTTGTTACTTCATTCAATTTCTCCTCATATTGAAACACTGTCTTTTTGTCCTTCGAATTCAAGTCGGACGAGAGTTAATCGAACACTGATCTTCATTTACTTGAAACGTCATTTTTTAGTCATAATAATTGTGATATCTATAATACCACATCTCCCCTAAATCTCCACAGGAACCTATTTAGCTCCCCTCGCACCCTCCCTCTCTCATTCCCCTACTCCCTTCCATCCGCTTCCCATTTCCCAATCATCAAAATCTCCTCCTTCTCCATCCCCTGCATACCCTCTCACTTATACCCACCCCCTCCATACCCATTAAACAAAAATTCACCATTTCCTCCACCCAATCCCGCACTTCTCAAGACTCTCTCCCTTTTCCTTCCTCTCTCATATCTACTTGAAGCGCGACTGAGAAGCGGTTGTTTGCATGTGCGAGAGCGGTAATGAGAGTAGAAAATTATTGTTATGAGGAGGGAAAGAGAGATGAGTATTAGTAGAGGGAGAAGAAAATGAGTGGAAGAGGTGTGTGAGGTTTTTGATTGGGGTTTGGACGGAGAAGGGGGTTTGACGTTGGGAGGGTGGGGACCTGAGGATAGTTAGGTTTCCTGGCCTAAATTTCTAGTAGAGGTATAACTGTTTACCACACGGGAAGCAAGACATGCAAAATCCAACAACTCACCGAAGAATCCCCTCCCAACACCCTCTCCCTTTCGCAACACACTAACTCTCCATCCCACACTACCCACCAATCCCATTTCTTCTCGGCCACTATTCCCCCTCTTATCATCCATACTTGTAGACGTATTAGCACCAAAACTAACACCCACATTCAATACTCCCTCTTCAATTCGCCTATGATACGCATCCCACACCTCTCCAAAAATGTCTCTCTTACACATCATCAATTTCTCCCCCTTCTTCAATTTCTCCGTCAAAATCAATCCTCCGATTTCTCTATCTCTCTCCCGTTCTCGCGTTCCTTCAACCCCCGGTGCACTATGTCCCATCAACACATCTATCAACTCCACTACAAACCCATGATTTCTCGGAGCGCCCATGATACGTGATAAGATTGTTCCTTTTAGCTTCTCGTCTCCTTCTTTATCCTCATTTTTGTTTTTAGAGGAAGATAAAGATAAAGGCTCAACTATAACAAACAACCCAAGCATCAAAAATGGATCCAGAGCACGCAGACAAATCGGATCCATATCCAATACAATACCACCATATTTATAAAGCAGAAGATATTTCATCGCTTCGACGCGTTGGGAATTAGAGGAATAGGATATATATGTTTTGAGAAACGGCGGATAGTGAGTTTTAATAAAGGCGACGGATTTCCGGGAGGTCCAGAGCTGTGTATGGATGTGTCATTAATTGTATGCTCTTAAACCCCAGTAAGAAACAAAAAAATTCTAGAGCTGGAAAAGATCATAGAGGGGATAAATAGAAATATACACACAATATATTTCCATCCACTCTGTTCATTAATTCCCCTACAATACTCTCTCCTCTCTTCCCACTCACGAGGAATTTCTCCATCTCCTCCAAATACTTCCCATCCCTCTTTATCTTCCGCGATATGTATTTTTCCCTTTCCCTTACCGTCCCCATAACTTCCTCCTCCTTTTTGAACTCCCACATTCCCATTCCCGCGCCTCTCAACTCTTCTCGCAAATCCTCCTTCCAGATTATGCCACAGCTGATGAATAATTTTTTCTCCTCCGCTTGCCTTCTCAGACTTCTCTCCATTTTGTCCACCTACTCCCAAAACATCATCTTCGAGTAATTTTTTCAGCGCGGGATATTTTCCTTGGTTTATTTTTGCTCGTAGCTGGATGATGGTTTGCTGGTTGATGGGTTTGCCTTCTTGGGTGATGTATTTTTGTTTTCTAGATGGGGCGTTGGAGTTGGTTATGGATAGGGGGTTCAGACTTAGATTGAAGTTTAGTGAATGAAGATATGTGAAATGTAAGAGGAGGATGAGGGAAAGGAAGAGCAGAAAAAAGAATAGGAGCATGCGGTGGTAGTGGAGAGATATCATTTTTGGGGGTGCTGGAATACATGGAAATTGATTGTTTTTTTCTAGAAGTGCAATCATGACAGAGGATATTTCAAATAATTGTTCGGGTAATGACTAGAAAGATAACAAGAGAAGAAGGAGAAAATTTGATGATTGTAAATGGGAGGAATGTGTAAGGTGTTGTGGAGGGAAAATGAATTCCGCAGCTGGAATGATGGAATTTGAGATTTGCTCTCGCCGGATATCAACTTAGCAATGTGTAGTCAGAATTTGGACCATAAGATTGGATTGCCAATTCCTATTGAGATGAAAGAGATCAAATGATTGAATGACATCAGTAAAATATTTACCCGTGAATAGGAGCGAGTTGCAAAGAATCGTACCCGAAGACTCAGTCAAGTAGTGGAGGAAAAGCAATGATTAAGATACAGGAGTACAATCGTATGTCGTGCTGACTTGAATTGAATGCTATATATACACCAAAATGAATCGCTCACTCGCTGAATCCTTTCGCTTTTTTTTATGAATACATATACAGAAATAATGAGTCCAGATCCATTTAGATCACCCGAACTATAAATCATCAAACATCATCTAAACGGGGTTCTGGTAGGAAAAGTATTTGGTAATCGCAGCAACTTGGTCTGCACTACCAATAGGAACCTCTTCAAATCCATAACCAACTTCCATAGTCACCATGTCGGTTTCTGAGTTCGCACTCCATTGTGGTAAGGTTCCGTTCCCTTTGTAGGAGCCTCCGTTGTTGGGGTTCAAAGTCTTAGCAAAGTTTGCCCAGTATCCGTTCATCTTGAGAGCAATCTCAAAATCAACAGCTTCCCATGGCTTATCAGTTCCGTAGAGATTGTTGAGAACATAGTTGATCTCAGACTCGTGATAAGCGCCTTGAGTTTGTCCTGGAGGGGCATGATCCCAGTAGTATGTCCAGATAGGCGACTTGGACTTAACAGACCAGCGATTGGCAAACGACCAACTGGAGACACGGGAAGTATTGCGACAGTGAGCATTATATGCCATACTTGCTTGAGTGGTGTTTGAGGCTGGATAAAGCTCCAAGAATGTGGATGAAAGGTTGTAAGCACCGTATTGTGCTTCGATTTCAGCTTCGTACTCGGCAACTGTGAGATTGGTACTTGTGGCTGCTCCGGACTCATCTTTGGTGTTTCCAGTGATGTATGGAACATCGTTTGCTGGGCCAGTGGCAAGTGTCTCAATATATTTGGCTGGGATAGCATAACCGTCAAGTACATTACCGAATTTATCGGAGAATGTACCTCCGAAAAGAGACTCTTCGAGATCAGCGAGAGGGAGAGCTCGCATCTCAGCGATGGTGCTAACATTCTTGGAAGCCATGTACTCTAAACCGGATGCGAGAGCATAAGACTGGTTACGATAATTCTCGGCAAGAGTAAGGGCCTCAGGATCGTATGGATCACGCGTTCCTGACTCGGCGATGGCTCTGACAATAAGTCCCTTTGATAATGGACTGTTAACAAAGTGGTAGACAGCAGCTGACCCAGCGGATTGACCCATAACGGTGATATGGCCTGGATCACCACCGAATGCAGCAATGTTGGCATGTACCCATTTCAAAGCGTGGATTTGATCAAGCTGTCCCCAATTTCCGGAACTGTTAGATCCAGTAGCTTTGTACATTTCCTCCGAAAGCTCTGGAGTTGAAAGCCAACCAAGAGCACTGATACGGTAGTTGTAATTGACGAAGACAATCCCTTGAGACGCCATTCCGGCACCGTCAAACAAAGGTTGATCGGCAGCACCACCTGCTGGGAAAGACCAAAAAACAACTGGGAGCTTGGCATCGGTAGAATTGCCGTTGGTCCAGATATTAAGGTTCAAACAATCTTCGCTGACAGTGCCGCCGGTTGTAGATGGATTGCCTGGTCCGCAAATAGGACCCATCTTGTTTGCTTGAAGAGTGGTATTCCAAGGTGTTGCATTCTTTGGAGGTGTCCATCGATTCTCGCCAGAGGTATCAGCACCATATGGAATACCTTTCCAGACGGTGATATCCTCCCAGTTCGAAATGTTACCATTTGGGGAAGAGTTGAAGGCGGGAATACCTTGAACAGGTCCGTAGTTCGTTTGAATTACTTGGTTGTAAAGTTGTGCTGAGGCGCCATGAGCGAGAGCGGCAGCCCCAAGGACTTGAGAAGTAAACTGCTTCATTATGAAAAGAATGTAACTTGGAGAGGAATGAGTGGAGGGAAAACTTCCGGTGAGAACGAAACATGTTTCTTTATATGTTCACTTACAAGAAATCTCAACTGAAGCTATCCACCAACTCTTGCGTACCCCATATATTGTTCGGTCCCGAATGAAGGGTATTGTGCTATTGACTCCTGCTAAATCAAGCTTTGGATCTGCGCATGAGGCGGTGACTAAGCCTCTACACATGGTAGAGGATATTGATAAGGGGCTCATAGATTATTAACATCGTTGAAGATGCGTTTCAAGCTTCGGCATTTGTCGACCGCCACCTCAATGCTCCATATATTCTCAAAGTCCGGAATGACGTTTAGATGCGGCATTGAAGCGGACCACCTGGTTCATCCAACAAAATCAGATTGCAAAAGGATGCCAGTCGTTCGGGGCCTTCCGTGCATTGAATTCCAGAATATACGTCGCACTTGCAAAGAAGGCTCTAATCCAACCATATATCAAAAATACCTGTTTTGCTCAAGCCGGTCAGCGATACAATGATTACACATTGTTCCTGTTAATCCAGCAAGTCCTGTATCTCCATCTTCTCAGACTCAAGTGTTTTGACACAGACATATGGTGATATATGGGTATCATCCAGAATAGGTTCCCATATAGTTCGGAGGTTTCGGACATTTTTCCTCTGGTTTCGGCACTTCTTCCTGGAGCGAAAGAAGTTATGCTTGACCCGAACTAGGCTATTTGCGTCTCTGCAACGCAAAAATAGTGTACGCGTAGACGAACGCGCAACATGTATATTCAATGTTCTTGGCATCCAACCTCTTTCATATCAATGACCGACAAGACCTTCGAGCAACCAGGCAGAACCGAAGCCGAGGTCAAGCAGTCCGGATGCCGTGCATGTTGAGCATGGATTTATCAGGTATCATTTTCACATAAGATAATTGTAATAGAGAATATTTATACTCTGTTAGTGGCTTCGGTACAATCCTTGGTACTTGAGACGAAAACACTTGTTCACTATTAGTTTGAGGACGCATTTTAGTTAGTATATCACGTGAACCTTTTCGAGTACGATTAAGCAATCGCTTGGCGTTCTGACTTGCATTTATAAGACTTGAAGAGAGTAAAATGAGAACTCCTTTCTTATCACCTCCATCCACTCCTTGCCATGAAGGTATGAGAGCGAAATCAACTCACCCAATACGCAAAGAGAATTAGTCTAGTCTGGACTAGCTCTCGAGTCTTAGACACTTTGGACGGTAGAATTTATGTTCCATTTTTACTGAACTCGAGTTCGCGGACACGTTTTAGTATTTCAATGGAATGATCTGATCTTGTCAGCTGTAATGGATCACAGACGTTACCATGTAAGAGAACTTGAGATGGAATTTTTCATACAATATTTCATGTTTCAAAACCATCTGATGATTATACACGCATCCCCATGAATATTCTCGAAACCAATGAACAGGAACATCTGGAATTAAGAACCTAGAAGTTCAATCAATAATTATCGGGTATCTTTGGTGCATAAACCGTAAATCACAGAACCCAAACACCAACCCACATCTTCCTCGATGTCCATTCTCCGTATCTCTGTCCGGCCTTAAATCTACCTTCATATTTTGAAACATTGCTCATCCTCATTCCCTACGCTCCAAATACCCAGTCTTATGAAAAATTACTTTACGCTCTCTTCCTCCAATTCCTCCCTCACAATTTTGTCTTCTGTATCTTCTTCGTCTAAAGTGTGCGAAGTATCTATGGCCATAAGTTCACCATTTTCTCCCCAACCCGAATTACTTCGACTTAACCTTCCTGTAGAGCCTGTAAGATCGCGCGGACTAGCTAGTGGGCTTCCTGGAGCAGCCATGCCACCGATACTTCCAGAGATGCTGTCTGTCCGGCCATGACCTAATAACCCACTTTTCACACTTCCACCATCATTTGCCAAAGATTGTTTGTTGGCGTAATAACTATTCCTTTCACTTGGTAAAGCTGGAGCCACGCCAGTTGAAGAGTATATGCTAGCTCTCTCATTTGCGATAGGGCGTGGTTGATATAGACCAGTTGGCGATGTGATTGTAGAACCGTCAATTGTAGCACTCAAAACACTCAAGGGTAGACTTTCACGACTGCCACCAAATACCGAAGATGGCGCCAAAGCACGAACAGATGCGTCAGTGTCCATAGATCGCCTTCGTCTGCGTTTAGAAGATGAGGCTAGAGTCAAGATAGATGCGTTATCTGTGAGGAGATTGTTCGCTGTAGCTGTATTGTATGTTGCAGGGTGACCTCCACTACCTTGTGGGGCCAAATGTGCGGGTAAGGCTGTGGCTGGTGGGGAGGTAGGAAATTGATGTGTGAATTGAATACCTTGTGTGTTATTCGAGGCATGATTGTGCGAAACAGTAGTGCCAGGAGCTCCAGCAGAATGAATCGTCGTAAGAGTTGTAGTCAAAGATCTAACAGATGGGGCTGGGGAGGAAAATGTGCTATCAGCACCTCTACCAGTGCTGACCCCGCATCCAATTGTACCGTTTGTAGCCTCACCTGAAGATGGCGCGTGGGATGCTGCAATGTCTGATCTTGCAACATCGTGTTCCTCGCCCATTGTAGGAGCTACTGACTTATTTCCAATTGTTGGCGGTGGATGTCCATCCTCAGAATATTGAGTCGATCTTCGACTTCTTTCCAACGATGACGTGCTGACCGAGTTACCGGTTGGTACAGTCGAAAATGACAAATGTCGATCGCGAGAGGCAGGCGCTGCCGCAGTACCATTTATGCGACCGGATTCTGGATATGGGTTGTTATTCTTCGAAGGAGATTGTTTCTTTAAGCTCCCCTTTGATTGTTGACCATTTCGTTTCGCATTAGTGGTTTGGTTGGAATTTGCAGTTGAAGAGCCGCTTTTGAAATTAGTGAACTTTTTCATCCATGTTGTAAATGGTCTGCGACGTCCTCCTACTTGTTCAGAACGGTCTGGCATATTAGTTAGTTGATGACAACTTAAATATAAGAGTGAGACAAAGGTGAGAGAATATCTAATGCACGATCGACTGGAAGTATGCTCGTGATGAATGAATTATGAGGTTGGGAATGGAAATGGAACTGTAATGTGGCTCATACCATGTTGTTGTGAGTTTGGAGGAGATTGTTGTTGCTGTGCTAACTCCGTGGCCGCCATTGTGCGAAACTCAAGTGACTGGCTTGGCTCGGAGCGGTGTTATGCGGAGAGGATACAGAAAGCGTTGAAAGGATACGAAGGTTGGGAATTGAAGGATGGATGGGTGATATTTGATTGTAGATCTCAAATGGCTGGATTATCGTGGTTTGATGTGTTATCTCGGTATTTCCCTTTGCTTTCTTTGCTTCGCCTTGCCTTTTTCCTTAGGCAGATAAGCAAGACAGAAGAAAGAAGGAGTAAAAGTAATCAGACACCAAAATTCTCTCTCAAGTAAGACAAATGGGACTGCAGATGTAAACTGATATCTTTATCTTTGACACAATGATAAGAAGAAAAGAAGAAGTTCAGACGACGATGATAAATTGGGTTGAATGGAAATTCGCTGGTTCAATCTAATGACCATCACTCTAACCAAGGTCTCTCCTCTCTAGTGCCAAAAACCCTTGGTGCTTGTTTGATCGATCAATCAGCTCAGCCAATCAATCGATTCATTTAGGTATTACATAAGCTGCAGCTTACCCTTCGGGTGATTCACATCTAAACCTCCGACCGTCATAAATGCTACTGCGTGTACTAAGGTTAGCTAGTCTAGCTCAGGCTTAGTGTGACATCAAGACCTAATCATGTGATGTGCAATCGGAGTGCGAGACTGCCTCGAGACTGCTTAACATTGATTTGTCATCTACCCGAATAGTTTACCAGGTTCGGATGCTTCAACATCGAAAGTTGAAAGGTTTCTCACTTATATTTCACTGGGATATATCTAAACAACGGTGGTTGCGATAACCCCCATATATGTAAGGTTTCCAACGAGGATGACTTTTTTCCCCTACGATGGATTTGTCCTCACATACTAATCATTCACATGATTTTGATAGATGGCTCTTGCTCACTCTGCTCTTTCCTACAGAGCAATATGATTTCAACCCCATGAATCCTGTGTGCTATCTGATCTGTTTATCTGTCCATACTCACATTCAATGACCTGCTCATTGCTTTCATTATGTCTATACAACCATTGCCTTCAGATGTAATAGCACAAATAAAATCCTCTTCAACTATTACCACTCTTAATGGTGTCATCTTTGAGCTTGTCAAGAATTGTTTGGATGCTTCTTGCTCTAGGATTGAGATTGATGTAGACTATAGCCGTGGAAGTTGTATAGTAGAGGACAATGGGCTTGGTATATTACCATCAGAATTTGGGGAAAATGGAGGGTTGGGAAAGCTCTATCGTATGTTATCACATATCTTCTGATGCATCCAGAAATATAACTTACCTATGCCAGATTCTTCGAAGCTAAATGTCTCGAATCCAACTCATGGGGGCCATGGAACGTTTATTGCCTCGTTATCTGCTTTGTCCTTACTCTCAATTACTTCGCATCATCATCTGCACCACTCGCACAATTCAATACATATGCATAGATCCGATATTGTATCACGTCAAATCCCAGCCCCGGATCAACATCATCTTGCTTTTTTTGAACACGGTACACGCGTTACTGTCCGGAATCTGTTCGGCAACATGCCAGTACGCGTAAAACAGAGAGCCATCGCTTCTGGAAACCGGCAGGTTACCGCTCAGATGTGGGATGCTTTACGTAGAGACATTGTCTCACTCTTGCTAGCATGGCCGAAAGATATTTCGGTGTCTATAAAAGAAACTGGTATTGACCAGAAAATTACCATCCGAAGGTCTCTGGCAACATCTGAATGGCGCCCAGTTGGAACTGTTGATCTGTTCAATACTTGTAGTATACTCTCCAAAGCCTCATATATCGCAATTGATGAAAAGCCATCTTGGATACCAGTGAGTGGCTCTACGTCAAGCTTGATTGTCAATGGCGCGATTTCTTTGATCCCAAATGCAACCAAGCACATTCAGTTTCTAGCATTTGGGATAGAACCTCTGATTTCTCAAGACAGCTGTCATTTCATCTATGAAGAAATCAATCGTTGGTTTCTCAATTCCTCGTTTGGAAATCAAGAGGAGGCAAATGAAATTGATGAAACCGAATTGAAAAGGAGATCTAAGGACAGAAGGTTTAAGGGCGATGGGTACACCAACAAAGAGCTCAAAGCAGGGAAGAAGAATGTTGATCGATGGCCAATGTTTTACATCAATGTTCACCAAGCCGATCCATTGAAGCATGCAAGATTGAAAGTTGACGACGTGTTAGATGAGAAGCGGAATACTCTTGACAAGATTTTGGAATTGTTGCAAGCGATTGTATTAGAATTTCTAACCAGGAATCATTTCCGGCCAAAACTGGCACGCGGGGATCGCACTAAGAGATCAGAATTAGCCACTTCATCAACGAATTCGGAGATTTTGGAGCAAAGTGGATCAACTGAGACTAATCAATCTTGTCAAGATGTGAACACTTTCTCAACTACGCCGGAGTCTTCTCCTGATGCCGATGAGAATTACAGCCAAAAAAGAGTAAGAATAGATACGCTGGGAACGAAAGTAAAGCTTCCTTCTTTTCGTCGGTCGCATTCCGCATCTGCTTCCCTTTTTGGGTCTTGGTCAAAAATCAAAACAGGGATTGGACAACCACATAGAAAGTTTACAGATATGCCAGAAAATTCTAGTACACCAGTAAAAGTTAGCTCGAAGGTGGATGTGCGAGCAGAGACACCTTTGATTTCCAAATCAGGCCACTTGACTCGATGTCCTTTCGAAGAAAGTCAAGCTCCAATTTCCAAAGCAACACCGCTCACTGATAACGTGCAAGAATCAGATGGCAGTGGAGATGAACTGGCTGTATGGGTCAATCCTGTAAATAAGGTCAAATCTCTAGTGAACAGGCGAACGGGTCTTGTCGTATCTGAAAAGAAAGAGGACAGAACGAACAGGAAACAATTTATCTCTAATTCGTCTTCTCGCTTTACTGTGGTCAAAAAGCCTCTTACAGGCAACAAGCAGCCCATTCCATGGATCGATGACATTTTGAATAGGTGGGAGAATCCAGTGTTCGCTCCTGCTCAACCTTCAATTCCTCAGGTATTGATGGATGGGCTAGATCTGGAGACACAAGAAATTATACATGGCCGTCATCAAGACTGTTCACAAGCTCAAATCGAGAAGGCATTTAAAGAAACTTCAACAGGACTCCCTGGGCGCATCTCAAAAGAAGCTTTACGAGATGCAGAGATCATCTCACAAGTAGATAAAAAGTTTATTCTAGCCAATCTCCAAAGAAATTCTACAGCTGAAGAAGACTCGAGTTCTCTTCTTGTGATTATCGATCAGCACGCAGCGGACGAACGAATTCGAATAGAAACTCTTTTATCTGATTTTCTTGCATCGCCCATAGTCTCAACTGTTCCAGTCCCAGCATCAGTATTCACTACTCCACTTGAGAAATCCCTTAACTTTGATATCTCAACAAAAGAATCTCAGCTTTTCCATACCTACATGAATCACTTTTTTTATTGGGGAATCATTTATTCAGTTTCGCCGACGGGTGCCACTATCACCGTCCAATATCTTCCACCCTTGTTAACTGCCAGACTTGTCGCAAATCCAAGCCTACTCCTTCACATTCTCCGTACAGAGCTTTATTCGTATCACGAGAATCCAACGTCGCATCCTAGCGTCACTTCAGCATCCACTTGGATTGAGAGGATAGCTCACATCCCAAAGAGCATCTTGGAGCTATTGAATAGTAGAGCTTGTAGGACTGCAATTATGTTTAATGATGAACTTGGTGTTGATGAGTGTAGAGAGTTGATCAGAAGGTTGGCAAACTGCAAGTTTCCTTTCATGTGTGCACACGGGCGGGTGAGCATGGTACCTCTTGGGGAGCTTGAGATAATGGCAAAAATGAGAGGAGGTGGTGATTGCTCACATTCAGTACGGTTAGATCAGGGAAACAAAACTGCGGGTAGTGACGGGGCATTTGGTACTGAATGGAGAAAATGGATGAGCCAGCGAAGAAAGAACTAGTGAGTAAGAACAAGCTCACTTTGATTAAACCGAAACAGTGAATCTCGAACGTCTTATTATAATGATCGGGCATGGTTCATCCGAACTAGAAAATGCACGCTAAGCTTTTCGAACTTACCTAGAAGCTTGAGAACGTCAAGTGCTCGTTGATACAACAACAATCGCATCACAATTATAATCAAAACTGCGAATGCGAATACAGCATCACTGCGAATTCCAGTGCAACAAAATGGAAAATCAGGAGCATCCTTTCCTTTTCGAGGACGGTGACATGCGAGTCAAAGCCAAACATGGTGAACGAATAATCACTTTCAAATTATCCTCTCATGCGCTGTGCTTCGCCAGCCCAGTTTGGAAGAAGTTCGTGTTTCCTCCATTTCCTCTTCTATCCTCAATTCGAAATGAAGAAGAGCCAAACTCGAAAAAAGCTTGCGCGGTTCCCGAAGAGCCATTTCCCGACACCGAGTTGGATTTCACCGAAGACAATCCGGAAGCTTTGTTAATTCTTCTGCAGATTGCGCATCTGAAATTTTCGGATATCCCTTCACAGTTACCGTACGAAGTTCTTTACCACATTGCCACCCTTTGTGATCAATACGATTGTAGAAGATTGGTAAAACCTTGGATTCAGGGTTGGTTGGAAGACGAGGCAAATGAGGCGTATCTACCACGCCAAGAAGGATGGTTATGGATTGCTTACTACTTTGGGAAGAAGGAAATCTTCTACCAATTGATGAAAATTCTGGCACTGCGACTGACCGTCGACAATGATGGGAAATGCATGCTAATGGATGAGCCATTTTACCGCCAACATTGCACTCTCGAAACTTCACTCTGCTCTCTGGGTCTGGATGCGAGTCCATTACCTCCTGAAATCACAGGTTAGCCTCATGCCCATATTAATTTTCGTCGCTCTAACAGCTCGTAGATACAATCGTTAACTTGCGTAAGGATTTGAATTCTTTCCTGTTAACTTCTACGACAAATAACCTGAGGGAGCTTTTTACCGGCAATGTGCTGAGCCCATGCAAAGAGTTATGCTCGTTGGCCATGTATGGACTTCTGAGCAAATATCTGAGCGAATGCAAGCTGTGGCCTCTACCAAGAACAGAAAACTACAAATTGACACCTTTTCAGTTGTATACATCGATAATCCGCGTTTTATGTAAGATTTCTAGTGCCCACAAACCCATGGCACAGCTCCATATAGGCAGCTGTTCATTCACGGGTGCTTGGAAACTGGAACTGGAGCTTGAAGCAAAAACCGGAATATGCAAATGCGATGCGCATTGGGATGAGGGAGAAACTGACGGAAGCAGATTTCAAGAATTTATGGATCACGCGGTCGAAGAGCCTAGAAACTTTGAATGTCCTAACAATTCTCTGGGGGAAGTTCAGGATAGATTCATCAAGGAAATCTTGGAGCTGCGCCCGATGGAACCATGAAGATGATCCGTTGCGGTCTAGTTTATTTAAATTGCCTCGCTTTGCATTTCATACCCGCGACCGGTAGTCAAAACACTGGTTATGTTACTCCTCTCATCCACTGAGTGGTTGGCTGGTTAGTTCGTTCCCAACTTCGTAGTAATGGCTTCCACGAATTTCGAAATGCATGTGGTAGCGTGTTCCGGCTAGAGTAACGCGGAAGAACGATTCCATACGAATGATTGCGTGCTAGAAAACTCATATTACGGTTCTAACATATAAGGGTATGAGGAAACTCGAATCGAGGATATAGCCGGATCATGAGGTTTAGTCTACTTTCTGATACATCAATGATATTCATATACTTCAACTTCAAAAAGTTTTGCGATTTTTTATACATGATCGGGGGTTCCCTGTGAGTTGCACTTTTCACTTCATAATACCGCAATATAAGCTTACTTCACCCCCAAAGAAATGATTTCACTCGACTTTGCTTTCTATTCTCGTGCATCTTTAGCATTCCGCTACTCTCTTCTGACCAGTCCGTGATATTTCAATCCCCCCTTCAGGAAAGTAATCGGAACCAACAGCAACCCATTCACTTTGAACAGTTCAACAATCTCAACTCTATTCCCTGGCCCAAAAAATAAAATCATCATATCATCCAAATCAAACCAGCCCCTGACCATAATTCCTTATCAAAAAAACTCCATCGTTTCACATAAACCAAACCCACACTTTGTAATCATAGCTTTACATGATATACCACACTACAGGGAACCTCCCTCCACCTACACATCCCACGCCCCCACCAAGCGAGAGATCGCTACATGGTTCTTCGTTTACGGTTCATCTTAACGTTATGCATTTTCTTGCATTTTCTCTTGCATTCTCTTGCATTTTCTTATCTCCAACATGTGGGTGGAGTGATGATTTTTGATTTTTGCTGTACGATTTCCGATTCATTGGTTGTGGGGGTGGTTTTTGGGGGGGTCTGTTTGGGTTCTTTGGGGTCTAGATCTTGGGATGATATGGGATGGATGGGATGGGATGGATGGGATGAATTTAAATCGTGTATCTACGTACATGTGTAAGGTGTATGTAAACCATGCTATATTGTATGTACCTATGTACCTATGTGCAAATGCTATCTACCTATGTACGATGTATACAGCGAGGAACATATCCACCATCCTATCTGTAACTATGCAAACCCGAAGAAACCATGATAAATTATTTAGTCTCAGACTAAATCCTCATCATCGTCATCATCATCATACTTATTCAATTAAACTAACTGTATCTGAAAGGAAGTTCGCTCCAAAAATGATGTATTTTCCAGCCCGTAACCCCAAACGCCAAGTGAGATGAATAGATAGATAAATAAGTAATACAAATGCAAAGTGGTATCTGTTGTCCCGCCGCTAAAAGAAAAAGAAATTCAAAACCACGCTTTGCTTCCGTCCACAGCAATAAATGCGCAAGTTTCCGATGGGAAATTGCTCCAGTAATAAGAGGCGTTTGAGGAATGGGTACATCATTATATTCTCCCTATCGTATTTTCATAACCTGCCTTTCAATCCACATCACGAGTCATCATCTTCATTCCATTCCATCCCATCCCTAATCCAAAGCCGTGATCGCAGCTCCTACAAGCGTGTCCAGCGCGCTTCCATCACTCTGCACACTATATACCGGTTTGGTGGCGCCACTCCACACCAATCCGAGCATATTGTCACTACTAGTATCCTTGCGAATAATGCTCTCTGCATTGAGCGCTAGGAAGGCTCGATACTTGGCGAGAACATCTGCGTCCATTCCGGTAGCTCTGTTGACCATGAATGAGAGATTGCGTGTGAAGACACCTTTAAATTGCTGTTCGTCTCCATTACAGGCATTAGGCTCGCAAGCTTTTTCCTGCAGGATTCCTGCAGAGGTAGTCATGTTTGCGATGACTGAGTTGGCGATTTGGACCGCGAGGGCAGTGTAGGAATGACTTCTTGTGCTCCAGGTGAGTTCAGTGAGACCGGATAGGATGATCCCTTGATTGTAAGTGAACACGATCTTTCCGTTGTTTTTGCATGTGGACATGGAGATGCCGTCGTTGAAAAGATGAGTAGAGGGATTCATGGATGTAGTGGTGTTGGTGATAAGGAAGTCGTAAGCAATCAGAGCTTGGGAATAGTAGTAACCTTGACCTTGAGAATTCTTCTTGGCGGGGAGGCGGTTGGCGAGTTTGGCGGAGGCGGTAAGGTAGAGTTCGTTCTCTACACTGTTGACACCGGCGTGGTTCTTGTCCCACCTGATTGATTGTTAGTATATTTGTTCAAGTTTTGTAAGGCTGTTTGCAAAAGGGTACACATGATGAGTTGCAAGGAGATTATGTCGTAATTTGTGTGAGGAGAGATTGGTAGTCATTTGACCGAGAGTGAATGGAAAGGAACATACCATAAGCCACCACAAGGAGTATTACCATAAACACTCTTGGGATCTTCGTAGATTGCAGCCGCAGTATTAAGATAGGTAACATTTCCAGTTGCATCGTAAACCTGAATCCAAGCCAATACCCACCAGAGTTCATCATCATAATAATCATTAAGAAATCCTTTCGCATACGCGGGGGCATGCGTCAAGATTGTCGCAAAAACATCAGGCATCCATGTAGCTGTGGTTGGGTATCTTCCATAGTAGTTCGCCATCATAGTAAGGACATTGGCGGAAGGCCACCACTGTGGGGAGAACTTTCCGCCGTTGTCATAGGAGCCCCATAGTCCGGAGGGAGCGTTCCAGTAGGTTTTCTGGAGAGCGTTGATAGCTGATGAAGCGTAGTTTTGAAAGTCCCCGCGGGTCAAATCTGTTGCACGCTTCGCTAACAAAGAGGGGTCGAAATCTCGCTGAATCTTTGTTGGGATAGCTTCGACTACAGAAGAAGTGAGGGCAGCTATGGATAGCGAAGCCAAAATATGGCGCAGAGAGATATGCATGTTGTCTGGTAGTACTTTGTCTGTGGAAGAGCTTTCGTGCGTTGTTCTTAAGCAGGTTTCAGGACGTTATGAATCAATTAAAATTCGATGATTCACACTACTTTCCTTTTCTATGAATGGGCGCGTGATAGTATAAAGTTTGATGTAAATGACTTCCTGATTTCTTCAATATGCCTCGTGCCAAGTCTGAAGCCAATAAAGTCGCGCTACTAATTTGTGAAAGAGATGAAGGAGCAACAGGATTGGACGTTCCTATAGACCATTATGGAAAGCCGAGGAGCGGGAATCGGCAGACTTTATATTCACGCCCATAACGGCCGGCGGACCTCCCAAGTAAGCCAAGGCCCAGAATTCTATGGCATTGCTGAAAATCGGTCGGGAAATTGGTTTCTCGATTTCATTAACAGGAAGGCTACAATTCTTTCGAGGTCGAATGGTGGACTATGTGGCTCGAGCGTTTGTGGTTCTAAAATTGGATCTCTTCGGGGATTTTATTCCAACAAGTCAGGGGTTTAAACGGCCCACTACCATATACCTACAAGGTGATCCCACACTGGTGAAGATCATTTGTAAAGCAGTTGAGCCTTGCTCCAGAGTTTTGGTGTCTCATCTGCATATAATTGGATGACGTGAGATCGTGTGTTCGCAGAATGGATCCTTTGATTTACATTGGATGAGCTCATAGGAAAATCTCAAAGCAAATCTCGGGAGGGGTTGGAAGACAAGAAAATCGCAATTCTGGAGCATTGCTAACATGCCTTTAGGTTAGATGGTCTACAGACGATCTGAAAGTCCCAATAATGTTTGCGGTATGATAACATCGACACCCAAAAATCAATAAATGACATGGTCCTATAGCAGGTCAATATCGGCTACCATCAAATTCTATGGCTTGGCCGGCGCGAAGACCTTAGATGAGCTCATCCAAGTATCGAACCGATCGTTCGTGCTTACAAGAGCGCACCTTCTCCGATTGGTACGCGGTAGGTGAAAGAGCCTAGCCCCTTATTCTATAACTGTCTCTTATACTGATTGGTCAATGTGCTTATCCCACTTTTCTGCATTCGGCTAGTACAATAGCTGAATAGATTTTGATCACAGTTTTTCGTGATTCCAGCATTGGTACCAAGTGGGAGGATAGAAGAAAAACGCCTGACCTTGTCAGATCTATGCCACGAAGCGAATTTGTACGGAATTGTGACATTTCTGGACTTGAGGGCTTGTTCAATTTCCCGAAAGGAGCTTAATATGTCTTCTTTCGTTTCATAGCATTGATCAGTAGCTTGAAGAAAGCGGCTGAGCAGTTTCAAGTCCTCAATTCAGATGAACAGCCGTTGCGTTTAGATACATGTATAATTTCAATTTCTCGTGAGAGGATTCTGGCCAAGATAGTTCGTAGTTCTCGTATGAATGATTCCTCTGTCAGTATGTTGATTCGTTTCGAAAGAGTATGAGAGCGTCAATATTGATTGACGTTGATTTCTTCATCTCGAAATTTGATGGGTACGCGCGATGGTGGATGCTCTGATTTGTCAGCTGGCATGCCGTTTCAAAATAGCCATGGCATCATACGAAATTATTAAAGCAGCCATGAAAACTTCTTTGCGACCAATCACACGCAATATTCATCTTATCAAATCTAATTCTCACCGATACCAAATTTGGCAGCAGGAATAAACGACGAGGTAAGTTTAACATCAGCAAAAACGCCACCACATAGCTGGGCGCAATCTTATTAAGTTAATTTTTGTCTCAAACCAGATCTTTAAGGTTAAATCAACGTTGAAGCGGGCCATGTAACCCCAGGTTTAACGTGATGGCAATATCGAGGGAAAATGTTACCGGCGTTTAATGGGAAAGCTGCTCACAAGTTGCATTAAAGGGTACGCTTATGAATTGACAAGGTATTTTACGCAAAATGGTGTGGGTTGCACTTCCTTTTGAATCTAGCGGTCTTCTCAGAATCTCAAATCGGTGCACCAAAGGAGTGGTGTAATCTTAAATCCATGACATTCTCAAGTTCGTTCCGATGTTTCCGTTGAAGGAAGACAACTTCTCAGTATCGTTACTCTCAACACAAACTAGATTGCTAAGTCTTCTTAATTGAAGAATGGGGTATTCACGGCTCGATCCTGTGCAGCAAGTGTGCGTTGCTGTTCTGCAATACTGGAATACATTTCTTGAAACAATGGCGAGCACATGACTGGGGGTCGCTCACCATGTCCTCCCCTGCATGGTGAAATCGTCTCCGAGTAGCTTACAATTGAAAAAGAGTCTGAGGGACGTATCGAATCATGTCCGCTGGAGTTCACATCTCCTTCCCATGCACATCACGAGCATGAAGCTCGACCTCAGGTCCCTTCTCCATGGCTCGAGGTTGACAGTTCTTTACCCTTTCCAGTTTGTCCCTTAGTATTTTACTTCTTCAGAATTTTAGGAGTTGAAGCTTTCATTGCGCTGGTCTGGGAAAGAGTAAGAGCCAGAGCACAGACCAAATGGAATTCGGAGAGAACAAAGTGAAAGATTGAAACACTTGTTCGATTTCACTAATGTATATCTATAAATCTAACACGCCAAAAATGATAGATCTACATTTCCAAACTTCGCTTGGTGGCTCTCGTCACACTCCTGCAATATGCATACCTCACTCGGTCCTCCTCCAGTCCCACCAACCCCTCAATCGTCGTTCCTCTCGGACTACTGAACTGTTCTCTAATCTCATCACCCGTCATTCCTTTCGACTTCTCTTTTTGCCTACCATTCGCCTTCCCATCTTTTTTTCCATCATCCCCACTACTCTCTTCTCCCTTGCCCTCCAAAAGCCCGATCAAGCCCTTTAAACTCCTCACCAAGATATCTCTTCCCTCACTCCTCTTAATGCCCTCCTTCACACCCCCATCTAGTATCCCGTCAAGCGCCACTGTTAAAAACGCCATGCTTGTGGCCGCCATTACACTGGCCGCATCATATTGCCCAGGCCCCACTTCCACTATCGATCCTATACATCTAAAAATGTAGCGAACAATAGATTTATTTTGTTGCGAAAGAACCATCGAAGGAGATATCTCCACTACGGTATTTGATTCTCCGAAACTGGCTGCTAGACTCGGCATCGCGCGGACAATAGCAATTTCTTTTCCCTTGCCTTTTCCAATTGAAGATTCTGAGATTCCGATCGCAGCAGTCATTCTTTCCACCGGTGTCCCTACTGCTACACTAATCACTAGTTTTCCTCCCAACGCTTCTTTTACTCCTTGCATTGAGAGTACCCCCTCGATTGTATATGGCTTACACGCTAGTAGAACAATATCTGCCTTTTGCATAGCTTGAAGTACCCCGTCATTCCCAACAAGGATATGAACACGTGATTCGCTTGAATGGAATTGTTTGCGCAATCGTATCACGGAAGCCATTGTGTTGACTGTAGCAATAAATGTATTTATATTGGAATCTGTAGCAGCGCCTTTGGACTTTGCGTTGAGAATACCAGTGAGAATTGAAGTGCCCATTGTTCCTAAGGAAGCATGTCAGGTGACTTATCAAGGGGCTGATGAGTTGTGCTCTGTGCATCCTCCCACAAGAGTACAGACAGATGAGCAGAATAGAAGGGGTACTTACCACAACCAATAATCGCAAGCGTAAGTCCTCCATTCTCTTTATCTTTGTTAGACATCGTGAGATCTGGGGAGGTAGGAGAGGAGGCCATGATTGCAATATCTTGACGTGTTTGTGGGTGATATTCGAGATATATATATAATCCGTCTTCACGTCAATTTGTCTCCTCTTTAGATAGATACTCTTGAGAAACTTCGACGAATCCGCAATTACGAAGGTCACCAATTTCGAACTTCCTCCTTTCTTTGCAAATTAAATTGCTCCCTGGGGCCTGTGTTTTGAGAAGGAGGGGTTGAGGCAAGGTTTACGGCCGCAATCCAACGGCGCTAATCCTATATAGGTGTCCTGCTTATGTTCATGTGAGGCTTTTCATTCGCGGAATAATGAATGGTGATTGATCCATAATTTTCCTGTATTGTGGATTATTAGGCAACTTAGTGACACAACAGTGTTGGAAGATGCTTATTGCACTGTACCAACAGATTTAAGGGGTTCGGCTGCATATATTGAAGAGAAGCTTTTAGGGGAAAGGAATTCTGATCTGTGCTACGATAGAGGCGTACAAAATGATCAAATCGATCCAGATAAGTTTCCGACTGATCGTCGCTGGATGATGCGTCTAGCCCGCTAAGTGAGTGGGTACCTTTTATCTCTGCATGGGGGCTATAAATGTTCGTGCAGTCATAGATAAAAGACATCAGTAGTTCTATCGCATTAGGGGATTTCACAGCTTCCCTCCGTACCACATCGTGATGGTAGAGCAACACGTGCAAATTTCTGTAAATGGCAGTGGTGATGTGCCTCTAGGAATGGAAGGCGCAGTTGACGTCTTGCTGAGAAATTCACAGGCAAACCCTATGTCAGAATTCCACCATGAATTTTTGTCGAATCCCAAAACATTCATACGATTATTAGAGCTTGACAATGTCGAAGTAGAAGACACGACGACCGAATTGCGTTGTAACATTAGCACGTGGCATGTTGGCCATACACCTTCATATCATGCCATATCCTATGTTTGGGGTAGTACAGAGTTTAGCAAAACTATAAATGTTAACGGGAGAGGCCTAAAAATAAATAACAATGCGGATTACGCGTTGCGACAAGCAAAATGGTTTGGCGTCCGATATGTTTGGATGGATTCGATATGTATCGACCAACACAACATCGAAGAAAAAGCTGATCAGGTGAAGATGATGGGACAGATATATCGAAACGCTTTATGTGTCTTGGCTTGTGTAGGGTTGCATGATGATGACAGCGAGCTTGTGATGAGATTTTTCTGCAAAGTCAAGATCTTCAAGCCAGGACATGGACCATATCGATGGAGGCTCTAGGCTGACTGTCATTAAAAATACTATTGAATCTCTGATATGGGCCATCAAGACCCAAGACGTCAGAAAGAGAAGGCTTCGCAGAGCTTTTTTCACCTTCATGAAAAGACCCTACTGCAAGCGAGTATGGATCCTTCAGGAAGTTTCTACCGCTGGAAGTGTGATTGTTTTTTTTCGGAAGTGACCATCGTCCTATAGGCGAGCTTTATACACTTCATCATAAAGTACACAGTCTGATGGTGAACACTGGCCGGTTTTACACATGCAAGCAGTTGTTCTTCGTTGCTTCTTTGACAATGCATCGACAAGGGATAACAAAAACTTCCATAGCAGACTGGCAGGACAGCCGTTGTGACCCTGGTACGAATTCCTGCTGGGGTTACTGTGCGGATTCTTGCTATCGATACCTGTCATATGGGGCTAGAAAATTAGATCAGCATTTCCTCTTACTCCCTTTATTGGAGTTGACAGAGGAGTTACAATGCCAAGATCCTCGAGACAAGATATATGGGGTTCTCTCCATGATTGACTGGCAGGATATTCTGCCTATTGAGCCGGACTACACAGCAGACATCTTTGAGCTAGCTGTTTTGGCAATCACTAGGATAATCGAACAATCAAAATGTTCAGAAGAACAATGTTCAAAAGAAAGTTGCTATCGAGCAGCATTACCTCTCGCTTACTCATCGGCGGAGAGCATGAAGCTATCTCTCGCGAGCATTAATCCAGAGATCGTTCAAATGAATCAGCACCCAGAACGCGATAACAGTTTTGATGATTCTGTCAGTTCACACGCAGAAGACACAGAATGGTACTCTTGTGAAATTATGAAAGCCAGTGACAACAATTGGAAGCTCGACGTTCGACCAGATTATAAGTTCCATAAGAAGCATGTAGAAGGGGAACCGGGGTGTATATTTCATCGTGATAAAAGCGGTGGTCGGCCAAGATTGGTCTTGCCTGATCTCGAAGGGGAAATCCCGGAGAATTATGTCAAAATCACGGATGAAGAATGCGGCCTCATAGCGCTGCTACCTCAAGCTACACGACATGGAGACTTGCTTGTTACTCAAGCGTACGCACATTTTGACCGCAGAGAGCCAACCGGAATCAGATATGAAATGCCTCGCTACTAGTGTTACGAGAGCACGAATCGCGCCGTCATTCAATAATTGGGCAAGCTATAGTTGTGGGAGGATGTGTGGCATCTAGCGCTACTATCGGCTCATGGTTCGACTTTCAATTTGATGTCCGCGACGCGCTTAATCTGACGATTTCCTGGGCAAAATGTCCCGCCTACCAAAAAAAAGATCTTTCTTTGATGACTTGGAGTATGGCAAAAAGCTTATTGGACCTAAAGATTTGTCGGGTTCCATTATCTTCATACGCATCTGAGGTGCAACATAGGCCCGGGGGAGTTGAAATAAATTGGCGTCAGAAACTTGGATCTGATCCTTGGATGGCGGAGAAGTCGGGAGGACTTAGGCGGAGACTCAAACTATGGTACTCAAACATTGAAGTTGAATATGGAACGAGACGAGTAAACAGAAATGCTAGATATAAATCTGCGTAACGAGCACAAGGTTCAAAGAATGCGCATGTCTACCATCTTTGAAAATTGCCCACAACATGCAATAAATCGTCCAGTTGCCGTAACATATTCGAAAGTTCTACCTAGCTTACTACTCTACGGTAGCATGTTCATGTACCGCACGGTAGAAACCAGGAAGGATCCAGCCAAATGCACTGGATGATTGATAGAAAGTTATGTGTACTTCTGTAATCACTCGATCTGATGAAAGCTCTTCTCAATGCTCTGTCCCTCAAAGTTGTGATTGCTTGTGCTCGTACGACTCTGCACTTGCAATTTTTCTTGAGAATTGAGCAGTACATAAATCAGTGGTCTAAACATTTCGGGGCTGAGCTGACTTTGCGAACGAGAACGGGTTTTTGGCTCTCTTACCCGACCCATGGAATGGGGGGAAACAAAAATAGCAAGATGATGATGAGAAGTGCAGGTAATGACATGAAAGCTTCACGAGCACCGAGAATTTCAAGATAATTCTACGAATGATTCGCGCTAATTTGGTGTGTCATGATGTGATGATCTTGGCAGACCAGATCTGATAGAGTTTTCTTTGAATCAGGAATATCCCATTTTGATTCCTGATGGCCCCTTCCCAAATTCACTCAAAACTCCTCCTACCTCTGATATTAGTTAGGAAGATAAGGAGATTTACTCACGACACGCTATCTGAATCAAAAATTTCTCTATTAGGAAAGGTCAGATGTCGAGCACTAAAGTTACCTAGGTAGAGACACTGTCTTCCTATCTACCGTACAGTACTAGTGAATACTGGTAAATACATTACACGTGATTTAGTTATGGTGAAACATGATCTCACTATAATAATTCACTATTGCAGTACATCCTCATCCTTTTATTAATCGGTTCTGGTCCAAATCGAAATCCATTGAACTTTACATCAATTTAATTGAGATAAAATCCGAAATTAATCACACTTCAATACAACTAAAATTCAAATCAACAAACACCGCAACAAAAGATGTCCGACTCCGACGCACCTACCAACGTATCTGTTAGAGATCTCGACTATTCGGGACTCAGAAAGGCCATCGATACAAGACTCAACAAATATTTCGAGAGGTTGGACGCGCCAGAAACCCACGAAAGACCCAAGGCCATTCATCGTAACGACTTTTACAAATTCACAATCCGTGCAGAAGAGCCAAATGTAGAATTCATCAAGTTTGTACCAAAAATCATGTGGTGCAGCAAACTGGGAGTCTACAAACACGTTTCTCGTGAGCGGGCTTATGAACTTCGCATTGTTCTTGATGAGTTTTGTGAAGAATGGTGTAGTCAATGGTTGACTGGTGATGCTGGAATATTCTTTGTGCAGATTCGTACAAATCTTCGCAGGGGTAGGAACTTGTGAACCGACGAGGGTTCCTTCCGACTACTGGGAAGTAAATCACTTGTAGCTATTCGTGGCTTTAGACGTCTGGCCACACGTCATTCTCAGGGTAATCTCTACCCCTAACGAATGCAAGAGCAAACGCGACGTGGAAAGGCTTCGATTATTTACAAGAGTTTCCTTACAAAATGAAACTCTTAACCAATATCATTCTTTTTTTTTCGCAATAAGAAACAATCAAGAGCGATAACAGCAAAATAAAACTAGTATTGAATTTATATTAATCGAGACTCTGAATCTTTAGACTGGGCAAAGTATGGAACAAAAAATGTATCCAAAGGTTTTCATTGAGGCAGAATTGGGGGAACATCTCACCAAGTTATTTCTAACGTTGGATGAAGATTCGCTTCGAGGTATCATGGCTCAGATTGTCAGGGACGAGGGCTACGGACGCCCTATTTACAATGAAAAAAGAGAGGCTATCTTCATGATCAACATTGACCCATCAAAGCTATCTCACAATAATCCGCGAAAGATGGTCACGGCATACACCTTCATGGATGTTGAGGATATTCGAAAGTTTCTTAGGGATTTGTCTTATAAATCCTGTGTCGATCAAGATACTCGTGGAGCCAAAATTCGGTGTGATCTCCGTCTGGAAGGTCAGAGAGTAGTCTCGCAGGTCAAAGTATGGGAAGAGGGTGACTCAGATTTCGACGAAATTGGAGATGAGGATGAAGATGAATCGCTGTTTGAAGAGGTGCTCGGTGGCACAAAAGATAGTTATGCCGTCTGGAGATGCAGGGTCTGGTTCGCAATCGAAAAAATGAGAGCTCCACAACTTCGTAGGGCTATTCACATGATATGCGGAGGAGTCTACAAGCTGAGATTGCCCGCTGATGAGGAATACATCAATAAAAAGGAAGATCCGGATTCGCGACGTATAGTCGCGGTAATCTTTATAGTTGGTACTCAAGTCGTCCTCACACACGAAGCCGAAAGTTGCGATCTACTGGAGGACATGACTGCTGATGAGCTTAGAACAACCCTTTTAGTTTTGTTGAGATCTGGACGTGTCTCATTGCCAGTCTTTAACGGCAAGCAACTTTTTATAGATGGGTGCACAATTACTCTCGAAATGTGTGGAGGGGCCAAGCCGCAAAATGAAAGTCCCAGTGAGAGCGCCATTGAAAGCGTCAGTGAGAGCGCAGAACAGGATCCAGCAGATGAATATCCAGCAGAAGATGAAGCAAGTGATTATGGAGTGGAAGTTGACTCGTCCGACGAAGAATACCATGAGCCTGAGAGCCCCAATCCTAGGAAGAGGGCTAGACTGTGGGTTGAGCCAAGTCGGCTGCTCGGACCAAGATCGTGGTAGTATGCTTGTTCAAGTGACTATCCATATAATGGTGAATTCTAGACCAACAATTTGGTGTCAAGTATTGTATCTTTACACCGCGAGGGAAGGGAGGAAAGCAGATTGCATGCGCAACTAATCAACACCTAGTTCCAATTAGAGAAGTACAGAATCCAACAATTTTGTCATCCATACAGATCTGATGAAACAGTGAATTTAGGCCAACCAATTTCTTTTGCCTATAATTAACTTGCAGAGATTTAAAATTGCTTCTCAGCTTATCTAAGCGAACGGTGAATACTGTGACTGCAACTCGCGCTCTCGTACTTATTATATTATTACCTAAGCACGTCCTACTAATCCACTACATTGTCAAATCGGGAGAAGCACCGATACAGCTTCATCAGTACAACGACCATGAGTGACCCAAGACTCAAGACCGCCTTCGACGGAATGAACGCGCGAAGACTTCGAGAACTCCTCAACAAGCTGTGTGAGTGTGGAAAGTTTACTATTCATGATTCGATGGGTAAAATCGAGGTCGATGACCGCAACATCATCATCTCGAATGGATTCATCGACCTTACTCAAAGCGACGATAGCGATGGCGAGGGCGAGGAGAACAATAATGGCGAGCTTGGAAGTTACAACGACAACGAGGACGAGCTTGCTACGGAAAAAGGAGACGATGAAGAAGTTACAATCGTTGACAGCGCGAGATGGACTGAGCTTGAAGCTGCGGAGATAAATCAACGAGCGGGCACAATGGGGGAGCAAAAGATAGACGAAGCAATTGGAATAGTCAAATCGCCAGATCAAGACACAAACAAAGGCAACGATGAAGTACACAGCGAGGAGGAATCGGAGACTTACTCATTGGACAATTCTGATGATGAGAAAGATGTGCCAGCTTTACGAAAGAGCGAGATCAAGGAATTGCTTTTATCAAAGAAAGATTACCTAGAGGAAATTTACGCTGAAAAGGAGAAAAGATTGCGACTTTTGGTCGCTTCAAAGAAGAGAAACTTGAAGATATTTGAGTGCGAAAACTGTGGCTCCGACTTCAATATCGAGGAAAACAAAAAGGGAGATTGTTCGTTCCATCCAGGTATGTATTGAAGTGTTCTATCTTCGTGTAACGTTTTATCATTGACACTCATTCTAGGCGAGAGAGAACTAGATGAGAATTATGTGGAGGATTATCATTAGCCAACTATGGAGAGCCGTGGAAGAGTGTAGATGATCCGGAGTATGCAGATCGTTTCATCTGGAATTGTTGTGAGAGTAATCCAGATGTCGAGGCGTTTATATTTACGAGACATAAGGCATTGGAGGAAGGAGACAGCAAAAGAACTAAAATTGATGGTTAGTGGTCTGTCATGCTAGTAGCAACAAGAGTAGCGGGGTTTATACTTGATGTTCCATTGATGTTGATCTTCCAAATGCAAATAACCCTCTTGAATGCTTAAGGATGTACGTTTGAAAAAGACATGATGGGGGTCTTTTATATAGATTGACAATTCCAGCTATGCATCTCATCCATTGCTTTTGATCTCAAAACTTTTTTGTGCATTTGCTGCTTATTTGATGTGAGGGAGACAAAGTTACATTATATCTTGTAACCATCTCAATAAACCATAAGAAGCTGTACAGGCTTGCTTCGGCCTCTTTAGACTGTACAAATATATGACATGTATTCATTCCAGATATTCTCGGACAAATTTTGTGCAGAGAGTGAACAGCTTGCTCTCATTCCCCAAAAGATAATTATGTGGTGCTGAATCTCCTTACATTGTTGACATGCCTTGGACGAATTTGTTTAAAGGAATTTCAGGAGCCATCATCGGTCGAAATTCACCTCTTAGCTATCACCACTTCATTTTTGTGATGAACAAGGCCGTAGCTACTAATATTAGCGAGTAGATGGTGTATCTCGAGCTTCTTTCAAGAATATCTGCTTTCCTTCTCAACAACGACTTTCCTTACACCTATACACAGCTCTTGGATCCACAGCTTTTATATTATTCATCTTCAAATTTTGTATCTCAGCACAGACAACATGATCGACTCAAGATTATGCGAAGAATTTGACAAGATGGATGCTCCACAGCTCCGAAATCTTCTCAAGTTGGTCTGCGACAACAAAGGCTTTACTTTGAAGCATTGTCATGGAAAGCTTTTTGTCAAGCCAGAGAAGGTGTTTTTCGGAGTCGTTGGCTTTCACGACGGCAAGCCTAGAGTTACTGACTTCGGGCACTGCGATAACTATGAGGAAAGGGAAGAGGATGTTGGAATCGAAGTTGAAGAAGTGCCGGCCAAGTCCAAGTACGAAATCCATGAGTTAGTCAGAGCCAACAAGAGAAAACATCCCGGCAAAAGCACCACCATGTTTAGATGCGAGAATTGTTATAGTTACTTCTGCATAAACAACAACCCGGCCAATGACTGTCTATGGCATCCAGGTACATTGTAAATCTTTTTCGTCCCATGCCTATCTTACTAACAATTGCAGGTTATAGAACAACGGATCTTGAAGATATCATATGGGCAGATCATGATTCAAAGAAAGACGGAGCAATTGAATCTCTTATTGATCATCCGGACTTCGAGGATCGTTGGATTTGGTCTTGCTGTTCACAGTTCGGAAGCGACTGGGGTTGCAAAAACACGAGACACAAAGTGTTGGAAGAAGTCGAAGAGACAAGGAATATATTCGAACCCACTCCCGAAGACTCACGGAGTGACTGCGAAGACCTTGAAGATTCTGACTCATACGATGCATCCGAGGACAGGGAAGATGTTGAGGAACCGGCTGCGAAGAGGGCCAGACATGATTACAACAGTGTGTACAGGAAACAGAAAAGTAGACAATGGTGCTGAATTGAGAGTATGAGTCCTTCTGTGACGGAGGAAAATCAATGTTTTATATTGAGAGAGAACCTTGAGGGGACTGGGAACATTTAAAGGACAAGACCTCGAGGGCGTATAAGTGGAGAAATGAGTCCATTTCGGAGGGACGAAATATCGTGGCGGATGGCGGTTGAGGTAGGACAGGCTTTGCAAATGAAAGCAAAATCGAGACTATTTGCTCCAATGTTGATTGGATTTGAGGGTTCATATCAATATTAAAATTTCATGAAATTGTTGCCAAAGGCATCTCGTCAACGTACGTGAAGTGGTGGTGCAGTGTATTGTCATTTCATCTTTTGAATTCCACGTGATTAGCAAATAAAATTGGAAGTTACGTAAGCTTGGTGAAGCACGCTGCGACCAAAATGAGAGGGTAGCAAACAATTCGAGATACAAAGAACTGAACATATTCACTGTCAATAATTCATTAAAACTGATGAATTTTGTAATTCATATTTTGGGCTTTCAATACTGCACTTCGCCATGTTGAGATCCGAGATAAAGGAAATTTATTTCTTAAAGCTCTCGTAACAAAATAACAGCGCGAACTTTGCTACACTATACAAGAATTGCACATAGTGGTCATGTCGGATGCCAATATGGAAGGTCGCAATGGCGATTTGTTATCACTTGCCAAGCTTGATACTAAACAACGAATCGAGCAGGCAAAACTTCGAGCAGCCGAACGAAGAGCTCGTGAAGCAGCTGCAAGACGCGGGGAACAAGCTTCTCTATTACCATCCCGGTCACCATCTTCCGCATCGCCCTCCATCACACATTCTTTACCATCTACTTCCAATCATGCATCAACAACAAACATTTTTCTTCCATCACCGACTACAAATCATAAACGCATCGAGCGGGCTAAAACACTCGAGGCACTATCAACGAAGATCGATGGGGCGGGGAACTTTAAGCTTCAGGAACTGATTATGAACATGATATTGAAATGTTCAGGAGCAAAAGAGGTTGCGGAATCCTTTTTCCTATCGAACGGTGTGGAGGAGAACAACGAAGAAGACGGTGAAAAGAGACGAGATGATGCGGCGGAATCAGAGGACACAGACGTGCAAACCACCAATCACGTGACACATGCCCGCGATTATGGCGCAAGCACTACTTCAAATATGGACCAGAGTCGAGAGGATCCGTCAGCAATTGAAGCAGGGCTTGGAGCCCCGGCGACGATGGTGCTAAGTCAACAGATTGGTGAAGCAAATACCAGGCAAGAATCTGTTTCACCACGTTTACATCCAACTATTTCTCCAGAGGACAGCTTGATATTGCACAATAACGAGGTAGCCCGTCAATCAAGTGTCTTGGAACTGAGAAGTCGCTCTGGTTCTGCGGACTCACAAAGCTTAGTTGACAGGCAACTTCTTCCCATTCTCAATAATAATCCACAGAAAGACCCTAGAACGATCGATAACCCAGGATCGGAACCAACCTCGATACACACAAACACGGAAACGCTTCATATTGCGAATAATGGCAAACCAAAAGAAATTGTGTCCGCCACAGATATTTCGAAAGCGCTCGACACTCTTCTCATTAGCGTCGCCAAGTCACGTGGAATGACTGTTAATGATAATTATACGAGCGCGACTCCTCAATCCTCAATTCCTGGAGCAAGCGAGTCTGTCACGACTTCAGTAGAGAACAATAGACCGCAAGATGACATGCTTCAATTAGACAGTGACATTTCAGTCAGATACCTTGCTTTAGCTCGTGCTTCTGGTGTCGCCAATTTTCCTTACGACCAACCTGCAAGTATCAGAGCTGGATCTCCACGCAATGTATCCACTAAAGAGTTGTCGTTTGAAGCGTTTAACAATCTTGTTGATAATTTTCGGAGGAATATTAAATCGATGCATGAAGCTCATGTAAATAATGAGTCCCTGGGAAATATGAGGAGTCAAGGAGTTCAAGAGGATTTCAGTGATGCTAGTGATCTGGGCAGTCCTATTCCTATCGATCTAAATGGCCAGGAGTTGGATGGAAACTTAGTTCGTATCGACGGCGCCAATCCGGGCGTCGAAATAATTACGCCCATGGCAGAGTCAACGGATAGCGAGGAAGATGAATATGATTTCCTAGACAACATGCCAAGTAGTCATTACAACTGCGATAATTGTCGAAAGCCAATCGTGTTACCTGAAGGTTCAATTGTTAGTCTGATGAGTCCAGCACCTACCACATGTCTGCATTGCAAGACTCGAAAAGCTGCAGGGGTCACACGTAGGAGACTGGGGGCTGGATCTCGATCAAGCGTTGTTGCAGAATCTCCCATATCTGAGATAAGCAATCGGCTTTCACCTGACCGAGTAGATCAACCTGTTACGGAGACTTCAATTCAGTCTTCGAGACCTGTTGCCGAGACATCGGCGCCAATCCCTGAGGCTTGCTCGGAACCATTACCAGAACCATTACGAGAATCACCACCAGACTCATTGCCAGAGCCATTATCGGAACCTCTATCAGAATCACCACGAGAACCACCCATAGAAGATATCGAGCACCTATCACATTCAATAGAAATTGAAGAGAGCGAATCTGGTGAAATGCCTCGGGACTCTCAGTCAGGCGATCGAAGCAATATAAAAATGGAGTATCATAGAGGGACTTTCACTGTTGACCTTCCGGGATGGCCCAGTTCTGCAAGCCCATGCCTTTCCAAGAATAAATTTTCAGCTAACAGCCAAACATCCCCAAAGGGTATGAAGCGCAAGGTTGAGTACATAGAAGGTGAAGCCGTCTATTCCTGTCCCATCGGCCCGAAACGACGCCGCGGCAGACCTTTTAAAGATTATCATGCAATCGTTTTAGACCCTTCGCCGGCAGACTCTTCTCAAGCTTCGACACCGACATCACGCCAAAGTTCACAAGTGGGTCTGAGTGGCAAAAAACGAGGCCGTCCATTTGGAAGTAAGAATCGAGTAAAATCGGAGACTATAGATCACAATCAGCCAATGAATATTATAGGAACAATCAGACCTACGGGCCAGCCTCAATCTGCTAAGAAAACTCGGGAAATTCTACGTGATTTATTTAACGCAGAACAAGATTTCATAGAACATCCGATCGCCTGCTCTGGAGTACCAACACACATTCAGGCTAATTCTAGTTCGGCCATTAATGCTACAATTCCAGACTTGCAGTCACCCTCTGGCCGTGTTGTTCCATCAGACAAAAGGGCTCGGCGAGATCTTGATCCTGACTAATGCCAACATGGGAATCGGAAGTTCGAAGCGGAACAACACCAGATGGTGACTCAAATTCGTCTTCGTTCGGTGATGGAGTGTCAAATATCGGTAATGAGGGCGGTGCAATCGACAATACTTTGACCGGATTTGGGGGATAATGCGAGGGAGCGTGGGACTTACAATCCTCAGAGAAGAAGCCCTGGAGACGGTGCTGACTTAATGGTATCTTCGCGTCGCTTAGACATGGTTGCCGGGAGACAGGATAGAGAATTTTCTGTCCCTCAGAGCTCGACCTCGGACCAAGAACAATCCCGCGGTGAGTCGCTCTAGCTATTTTGACCGGGAATCATTCCTAACAACCAAGTAGTCCAGCCATTCTTGCACCCAAGCGGCTTTCATGGTATCGAGGGTTTACAACCTGGGAGAGAATATATAGCAGGCAGAACGTCGCCTGGAGAGTCACTGACTGAAAATTCATCATCTAGCACATTGCCTGTAGGCACGTTGCCCTGGAATCCCTTCAATCAAGACCCCGATCTGACCGTACTACCTGCCTCTTCGCCAACTTTCCAGAGTCTGCAAGAACATACTCCAAAAATTTGCTGCGGAGAAAGTAGTCGCACATGTAATAGTAGATGCGAGAATAAGCTCACTCGTAGGGAAAGGAGGAAGCTGCAGAGAAGACAAAATAAACTTTTAGCCAGGAAAAACGGCGGTAAAAATGGGCGTCACATGAATTGGTTCTGCACATATTATAGGAGAAGTACATGTTCTCGGGAAGGAAAACGGAGGGGTGAATAGCAGTGAGCTATTGAGTGAAAAGCTGAAATTGTGCAGGAATTCGATGAGAGATTGAGTCGATGGGATGTCTATCATGAGGCTTCATCTTTGTCCCTCTTGACGATCTGCGCTTCATAGAAAACAACCTGATGAGAAAAAGCTGTCGCGGATTTGATACGTAGTGGTAATAACACATACTTTGCATTCATTTTCTATATTCTCAGGGCTCTTCTGCACATACACAAGTTATACAGAATCTTAACCTTTATTCTCAGATGTATCTAGTCTAGGATAGAATCAAACAATACAGATTAAAGATCGACTTCATGTTTACGGTGCTAGCCAGGTAATCTACACGTAAATGCATTGGATATTTCCAAGTAGATATGACATAGGTAGCTGGCTTTACATATAAGAACTGAAGTGTAGGGATACAAAAGGATCCTCGTTTACCTACGATTTTCTTCAGTATCTTAAACCTAAATTGTCAACTGTGAGACGGGAATGCACATGTGTTTCATGTTTAAAGGTCTATACGTAGTTATGATCTCGTGAAACAATAATCCGTAGAGGTTGATCGAGATCTCAAATTGAGAGGGTGGATAGATTTGGGTAGGGGAGGGCAGGAAATTCGAGAGGCAAATTAGTTCGAGGCAATTTGCGCTTGGCTAGCTCCAGTGAAGTTCCTTTCCACCACAATTTGTGGTTATACCGACGGTTGGAGTCGGTAGATATGTGACGCAACTATTACATTGACTCTGTACTGACACATTATATAGATTATTTAAATCATTCTCACATTCAACAAACCGTGATAACATTCGTCTGAGTTCATTCTCTCGTAACTTAATGAATGAATATTACGGCCACTTGTTCTTTCCTAGTTTCTCGATCTATGAACCACTTGAAACATAAATAAATCTCTCTTTCTGGCTGATTCCAAAATAACATCAGAAACAAACCATCATTTCCACCCAATAAGATGAACAACAACGTAGCAAATCTGGAACTCGATCCAGAGTCCCAGAGAGTCATCGAAGATCTCGCCGCAAGCATGAGAGAAGACGAAGGCTTTGTCGAATACACGAATGATCGAGAGACAGAATTACAGATGTACATCGAGGAGCGTCGAGCGAATCTCAAGATTTTTATAGAGGAGCGTCAACTATATCGACAAATGTATGTTGAGGAGCGCCAGAAACGTCTCGATAAGGAAAGGAAGGATGCCCAATTTATTGAATTGATGAGTCGAGTTATGTTCGTATTGATTGTCGCTTTTTTGGTATACATTGTGTGCAAATATGGCGTCTAATGTAAGGGATTATCAACTCCTAAGTAGTAAAAATATTACTAATGTATATCTATGCGCAGATGATGGACTTCTGCTTTACGACTTTGTTTCCTAACGCTTGTTCGATTATGCAGAACATCTTCTTTCTTCTGTATAAAGGATTACTTGATATCGTTCAAATAAACAATTCACATTCTTGAGGACAATATCGAATGGATAATATCATAGGAACTACCGAGGGTGATGAAGTAATCAAACAGCTTGTGGAGTCGTATTGATAGGAATGGCCGGAGGCAGGATACAAATAATCCAGCCCCGATTCGTCGAGGCAAATTCGCCCGGCTTTAGATTCTGGGCAAGGTTGCTGACGGCCGTGAAAGAAAAGCGGACAACGAAATCAAAACTTCCACTTTGCATGATGATTGCCCTCGCTTGACTTTCTATCCGCCTTGGGAGCTCTAAATAGACTCATAAAGATACCGTTTTTATCTCGAATAATAGAAAAGTCACTCTTTTCAACATGAATCAAAGAATATACGCCTTCACAAAGTTGAAGTATCCGCACTGCTACCTCATAGCATGTTCTTCTCAATGAGATATAGAAGACTTCTACCAAGTTTAACCTCCTCAGAAACACTACTATGGCCTGATCTTGTTACATGTTACATCCCATAACCTAGCGAAATATCAACAGCATGAGCACAATAACATAAAACTATCAAAATCTCCGCACGCTATTGTAATTCAGCTACGTAAGTTTTCCTCATTAATCTTCTTTCCCTCCGAGGAGGAGATGAGTTAGCTCAGATCTTATATTGAAACTTCCGACACTTCAGAACTTGTAATATCGTAAAGAAGTGTAGCTTCATTATGGAAGTAGTATCAAGATTCTTCATAAATGCATAATCGCACAACTAAGCAACAAACATTGAACATATAGCTTGATATGGAGTAAACGAGCGTGAACTCTTTTTTTTTTAGATAGTCCTGTCAGGAAAACTTCGGCAAGATTTCATTCTCACAGCCTCCATGAGATTCTTCTATTTTCCTACACAGTACTACATCAAGAAAGCCATAGTCTTGCGAATTCTTACCGCCACAATTTTTCACACGCCTCATCTCATCTCTGCTCTTCTCATTGTGGAGCCTATCGCATGATGAAACTTCAACGCCAAAGTCTTAACAACGCAACAGGGTATTCGCACAAAAGCCCCCCCATCATTCCAACAACTCGCTCGATATTCAGAGAAGTATACACAGTGTAGGCAATAGTATACTACAGTGAAACTGTGGCGCGTATTAGCATATTGATATTGCAGCTAGTATGTATAGAAAGGAGGCTATACCACTCTCGTACATATTCATATATCTAGAGAATACTAGCAATATACTGAAATACTGGAATCCAATATAAAATATACATTCCTATTCAAATTAGATAATAAAATTCCATTCCTTATTTCAAATTGAATAGGAATCCCTTATTTTTAGTCTAATTTGGATAGGAATGTATATTTTATATTGAATTCCAGTATTTCAGTATATTGCTAATAATATTAAATAACTAAATGATATTGAATACTTTCAGTGGTATTGAATTCTATACCACATACGTACATATTTCGAAAAAACTCGATACACACCACTAAACTAACCCGTATACGAAATACGGGAAATACTATTGCCTACACTGAGTATACATACACTCAAGTTCTGTCTTCAAATCCAAACTCGTTCCGGCGCCTATCGATCTAAGAATGCTCTTCACTCGTCACGCGCTCTATTTCTTCCTTCGTTCCTTTCCCAGTATCAGCACCCAATTCCCTCTGGTCAACGACGCTACTACCACTACCACTCATGCTCACACTGTGATTCTCGGAACTTGTATGTCTGCCCTCCCCATTCAATACACTTACACCTCTAAACTCCTCATCATCCCTTTCTGGACCATTCAATCTCTCGATCACTCCATGACTCCTTTCAAAGATTTTATCAATATCTTCTAATTCCAACCCTTTGGTCTCGGGGAAATAGAGATATATGATTGGAATCCAGCATGCATTCAGTACTCCGAATATTATGTAGGTTTTATACCCTATATTGTTTAATGCAATTGGAGTAACTTGCACGACCATGTAATTGAAAATCCAGTTACATGCTGTTGAGACCGAGGAGCCTCGTTGGCGAAGACGAAGAGGAAGAATCTCAGACGGGTAGACCCAGACCTAAGAGTGAGGTACGGAGAAAATTAGCAATTTCAAGGAGATTCAATGGAGTAGGTAGAATGTTTGAGGTATGGAGCTGTTAAAATTGTGTCTTTGAAACTGACGAGTTTTTTCGTGTAGCGATCAAAAATGTGAACACTACTCACTGTCGCTTGAAATCCAATGGTAAAGGCCCCTTCAAAAATGAACAACATCACCGCGGCACCATTACCACAACCTTTGGCAATTGATGTGTTATTTTGCACATTATAGATTAATCTCGTCTGTACAATCATTACTATTGACATGACAGAAATCATTGACAATAGTAGAGGGCGCCTCCCAATTCGATCAATAAGTAACCAAGGGATAAAACTCGCGGCAAAGAACCAAGTTTGGAGAAACCCAGACATAAGTGCACTGAGATGATCCGAGAATCCTAGGGATGTCGAGAAAAGAGTATTGGAGTAGTATATCAATGCATTTATCCCGCCAAGCTGTTGGAAAGATTGGATGGCGCATGCAATCAGGAAGCGCCGTTGCGATTGAATTGCATCATTTGTGAACAGATCACTCCAAGAGCCTGTCCCCAGAAATTTCTCGAACTCGCAAGTGCGGACAATTTCTAGGTGTAAAGACTGTATTTGCTCTTCTGTCATGTGGTATGAGTGTAATCCAGAGAGGACATTTAAGGATTCATCGGTTTTCTCGTGCGCAGCTAGCCATCGAGGAGATTCAGGAACTATGGCGAGTAAAACAAGCATTGGTACTAAGAACATGCATTGGAGAATCGTCGGTACTCTCCAAGAAAACGAGGCAGTGTATGATTGCGTAAAGCCGTAATCGACCCAATACGCTAAGAATATGCCAAAATTCAAAGTCGATAATTGCATGCAGACATCTGTGGAATATTTAGTATAGTGGTTCTTCCTTACATCGGGTATTTTCCTTACACAATCCTCTTGTTGCTTTGGGACTGAACTCTGCTTGGAAAACAGGAACAGTGCTATTTATGAATCGCATTCCAACCCCAGAAACCACTCGTGCAACGATTATATGAGCTCTCGAGTATGCTGATGCTTGCAGTAGTGCCCCAATAATCATGATCACTACTCCCATTCCAATTGATCTCTTCCTTCCAATATTTTCTCCAAACAAAGATGTAGCCACACTCCCAAGGAAACACCCCACTTCATATATAGCGACGATCAGGCCAACGACGGTGGGATCAGGATTGTCGAATGTGTCTTTAAACCCTGTTGCATTAACGAGTCTGCCATGATCTGTTAGTTGAAGGAAGTCCAATGGCATCTTTTAAGATCAAAAAAATGCATTGAAGTTGTATGGAGGAAAATTTACCCTCCCATCAATCCATTGTCATATCCTATGAGCAAAAACCCAAGACATGTTAGTGATGTCACGGCCGTAAAGAGAGCTCGACCTTCAAGGTGTGGCATCGTGGTGAGAATTTAAATGATTAGAAATTGCCGAGATTTGAACATGGGAGGTGTTCAGGCAATTCTCTGTATCGCACTGATAGAAACAATGTCAAAAGACTTTTAAAAGCCGTTTCAAAGCTCAATGAAGCCGCGAACAAGTTCACAATATAGGTTTATAAATTTGCTTTATATATATCCCATGTAATACTATTGAGTAACGTAGCATCTGTTGTTGAATGATGAAGATTGGAGGCTTAGATATCTTGGTCTCGCAGTAAATGTAGGATATCTAGCTTCAGTTGATAAGAAAAGGAACACGAACACATCATAGATTAGATTAAATCCGGGGAAATGGTGGACTAATGAACAACTGGGGAAGGGACGTTTCGGCAATTCAGACTAAAGTGGGGTAGGTGCGTGTGACTGAGGGGTAAACTAGGAAAGAAGAAACCCTGGCAATTCTGTAAGTGGGACATTTTTGTTCGGCATGTTGCTCATCGAAATGCCAATTGAGATACAAAATGAGTCAATGTTTCGAATCTCCCCATTCTCAATGGCTATATCTAAAGCGATGAATTGATAATTGGTAATCATGCTGTGTTTAAAAAGATACTTTATCGAGATTTCATGGCTCGAGTGTATTTGAATGTCGATTCTGATGTGCCGAGCGTATTAGTTATGTGCCCAGCACAGTAGCTTCTCGGCTAAACTTTTTATAAGGTTTCGGCTTGAGACAGCAAGACTTCGATAGTATTATTAACTTTCGAAAATTAAGATGGTCTGTAAATAACCTCGGAAGAAGAGGGCGCAGGATAGAATGTTCATTTGTTCACCGCTTCATTGTACTATGCTGATCCAAATACCATGAGTTAGACGGAATGATGATGGAAGTTAAAAATATTCTAAAATCACAGGCCTCCTAATGCCTTTAATACCTCTACATTTCCTGCCTATACACTCATCAAAAGCTGCTAGCATAAAGAAAGACGTAAGTGTGGCAACCCACGTGGAGCGATCAATCCCATCCAATTAACAAAATTACCAATCCAATGGCTTACAAGCTTTCGGTACAATTCGCAACCCGCGAGTCAAAACTATCATGCGTGGGGTGATATATTTGGACTTATAGCCTACAGAAACTAACCATCGATGCTCTATCAGGGACAGTTTATGTACAAACCTGCTGTCAAAAATCTTGAACCGGGTATGAAATTGAATATGCAGACAAGCAATTTCGAACGCGGCGTGGAATCAGCTAGGTCTCGGGCATTAACATGGGGATTAGCACCAGCTTCAGCACGAGCCCAGACAGTAGCTGTTGAAGAGTCCAAAGAATTTCATTGCTTTCGAAAATCCAAAAGTTTTTAGGCGTGGCAATCCTCCAAATAGTAGACAAAAGTACGCATTGTTTTCAATTATGGTCTCAACATTATATCTTCTCATCAACACCACCGATATTATAGGAAATGATTCTACCCACTGTAGAAGAGTAGAAGGTGGTGGGATCATATAGTAATACTTCATATATATCACAGAAGAGTTTTTGTAAATGTAGCACCTTTGGTGGAAGAAAGGAATTGGAAACTCTAGGTAATACCTCACACTACATAAGGAGAGTTGTATTGATATGAATTGATTGCTTTTTCTAACTACACAAAGCAGTCCCATAAACACTAGCTACAAATAAGACCACGTAACGAGCACAGAGATTCGCGCGCACCACGACTATGGACATCATAAGTTGATCTACACGCTAAAGTACAGAGCTCCATGGTGTAATAGGAAATGTTGCAAAGAAGAACACGGCTTAGAGTATGAGAAAAGGAATGGTAGAAGGACAGTGCTGTGGATAGCATCTTTCAGATTTGCATCACCTCTCTTCTCCAGCTGTCAATTCCACTTTTTCACCGTGATTAATCAACTCTTTTCCATGAAATGGATGTACAAAGCAAGATCCTCCGAATGAAAGAACGTAAAAATCACAATATGCACAGAAACAATTTTCGGTTAAACATGAAAGCAATTCAGAGCAAAAATTCAATAAATAGGGTATCTAGTCTAGAAAGAACGACGTAATCACCTCCACTTCACAAGAGAACAAAGAAAAGTAACCGTCAGCAGTTATAAAGCCCAATCTCTCTATCCAATACTTTCGCCCTCAATCCGTTCGGTAACCAAATACAGCATGTGCAGATCTGCTCTCCCTTCTGTACTGAACCAGACAGTAAGCCAAGTCGTCTTTCTGTGCCAGTCGCCTTGTGAAATGGCTCGTTCGGTTGTTTTTGTTTGAGCCTTTGGACACACTGGAGGACGAAAAATATTGAGCAATAAAAGATCAGACGTTGACAGCAGAAGATGACTATGGCCAGATAACACGTGTGTGCGAGGCAATGAGACGAAAAACCAGCAGACGATATGTAGACAGCGAAAATTGAAGATGATGAAACCACGACAACGATAGCGATTATCTCCGAGGGGATTGAGAGTACAGCGAGAAAAATCCTCAGAGTATCTGCTTGTATCGAACTGGTTGGAGTTGAGAAGATTTTCTGAATGAGGTTACGCCGTTATTCCTCCAAACGGTAACCAAGTTTCGTTCAAAATGACAATACTGAACTCATGGGTATGACTTATTGGCCATCAGACACGAAGCAATGTCCAGATTTTACTGATGATACTCTGTAATACAAGAACAGCGAGAATTTGCGAAGGAGACTCAGTGGTGGCTAGAAGGCGACAGAAGAAAATGGGCGAAGAGGAAAAAAGTGGATAGTGCTATCGCAAGAAGAATGAAGCATCGAGCTCAAGATCGGTTACGAAGATTTTTGCTCAATTAGTTGACCAGGAAGCCAATCAATCATCCCTCTTACGTGTCCTCTTTTTGCCCTTTTTGCGCTCCCTGTCCTTTCTATCTTCCAAGTTCTTGTGACTGTTCGACAAACAAATAGTTAGAACCTTCAATACATTGTAGAATAAACGAAGTCTCATTATAGAACTGCCGATCAATGAAAAATTGGTAACTTACTTTGGATGAAACGAACACTTTCTCGGCGAACTTTGATAAGCACAACTCATACAAACTCCTCCAAATAGCTGTCGATCACTGCCAGATTGAGGTGAAACCACAATACACTCCGCAAATCGCCCATTACCGGCTTTGCAGTAGTTGCAGGGCTCAGGGGCTACTTCACCCACTAGGTATCCGGCTGTTGCATCCCAGTAGTCAGGACGCGAGCGATGAAAAAAGTCGTCTGGTTCTCGTAGAGAGAGTTGTCTGCGCAACGGCATATCCCTCAAAATGTCAAGTTGTTTACGGTGTGGGACGTCAAGAGGAAGGGCTGCTGTTCTTGCTTCTCTGGTTAATCTTGCCATGACTGCAGCGCGGATAGGGTCTGGTTTCTCTTCGACAACAGCACCGAGAGAAGCGGCGCCTTCGGCTGGACGCGTGGCTGCTGTGGGAATACGACTTCTGGAAGGACCTGATAATCGAGTTTTTAATTGTGCCGCAACTGTTCTAGAGTTTCTGAGGACCATGGAGTCATCGATATCATTACGTATGGTTGGATCGATAGGATTTGGTGGATATGGTAGAGGAGAGAAATACTGGGGAGTATTTTGAGGGAGATCAGACCATTCTGGAGGCATGACAGGAGGGAAGAGAAGAGGATCGGTGCGAGTTGGTCCTAATCTGCCAGTGGCCGCTGCCAGCTGCGCATTACTAACATCCAATGGCTCTTGAGGATATTTGAGGTCGCACCATTGTTTGTACGTCAAACCATAGTATTCGTATGGAGCGTTTGATGGAGTGGATGAGGTAGCCGGAAAAGAGGCGTTGTCTCTGTGATATGACATGTTTATTTTCGATGGAAGTAACTTACAGAGACTTTATTTGGATCCGTTGTATTTGAGGTTGATTCGGGGTGTAGATTAATTCTCGAGGATGTGAAGTTGTGTTGTTGGAAAATGTAAACGATCAAAATAAGACAGTGTTTTCGTTTCGTGGTAATAGCTTGGGCAATTAATGGTCACCACGTTGATATATATTCCTGTGTCGATTTCTGGAATAAATTGACTAACCATATGAGGAAAATTAGATACTTCACTCAACAACAGAAACCAAAATTTGCCAGCTTGAGGTTTCGCCCATGCGTAAAGTTCCCTTCCAAAATCACCAATTGCTGCGAACTTCGTTCTGTTTCTCTGCTTTCGGCACTATTCAAAGCCTCTCTTTGCCTTTTTTCAAAGTTAACTTTGGAGAGTATCTTCTGGCACATTCGTGTATCAGCTTCTCAAAGCCTTTCACAATATCTACCAACATAACGAATTTCCTTCGTAATTCACTCAAAGAGCAATGAAAACGAAGAACACAGCTCCACCATTGCATTAGTCCTTGCGAGTCACCAAGTGCTATCACTATGGCATTCTCAACCCTTTTTGCAGTCTTTCAATATCCTTCGATGATCGCAGAGGCGATTCAAACCTACAGTAACCGGCACTGATCCCTCGAGAGGAATTGCAAATGATATTTGGGTGGACAGTATTGGAAGAGAAAAGTCTAAACAAGGAGGGTGTGGCCTGTCGATCATTTATTCCCTCAAAGTTCAGCACTCTCCGGTATGTTTGAGCTTTTCTGAATACATCACTTTGATCTAGATGAATGATCAGCCTAGCAGACTTGATAGCGGCACAAATGAAAAAAATACCGTAACTTTTGCTATCGACCTTCAACATAATCATAGCTGCCGTGCTAGCTTTGGCATTCTACCCCTTCTAGAAAACCATAAGACGCGCGCAGAAATCTCTTCACAACTAGGATGCCAGCATGGAGAAACAGTGAGCTCCAACAGTAAACATCACGGACACCTCCACACAGCTTCTCGATAAATATGAGCGCCGTGGATCGGCTAGCCCATGGCTTTCTCCCTCTTCGGCAGCCTGAACCAGTCTACTCATTGACTCATAAATAATGAATTTCCGGCGTGAATTGCCATTAGATTGCTAGAATGAGCAGCGAGAGCTCACGATTTACGGCAATGACGACTATTTGGAACCCTCTACCTACTTGGAAGAAGAATTACTAAGGCTTGCGCGAAGGTCTCTTTGAGTTGAATGAGGGGCTTGTTCAACGCGATCTGTTACCGATGACATCACCGTTCTTATCGAGATGCGAGAGCTTATTAGACCTCGAAAGGTGGTCAGTTGGGTTGATCGACAATATCGTAATAAGTGTATAGATCTTGCCCCTCTTGCAAACTATCAGCTTTAGTTTAGCTCTCGTGGGTCATGCTTGCAGCAGCCTGTCACTCTTCCTTCTCGATGATCATACTCTCATTGTGAATCTAGATTGAATAACTGGACCAGCTATTTTCAGCAGTGGTTCTACTGAATCACAAGAGTTGGCCCGCACTTTAACTTGAGCCATGTTATATGGAGCTCCAAGCGGTAGCTGGTGTTTAAAAGGGGACCGTGTTCTCAAGTCCTTCCCAGCGCATCAGTACCGACACGAATGTAGCTCACTGGGGCTGTTATCGGTCGAATGATTAAAATTGCTAAAGGGACTAACGAAAATTTCCCGTGGATCCAGGCAAGGGCCCGCGCCTTAATACCAAGCTGTTATGAGGAAGTGGCTCTCTGTGTCACTAGGTCTTCTCTTTTAGACAGAGTCTTTCATCTCAAAACTTCAAAGTCTGATGCAACTTGAGAAAGCCGATCCACATAGGTATTGATGGAAGTTATTGACCTCTTTTGAGGTTCTGCCAGCATCAAAACTCTTTTTCGCATTTTCTCTTCGCCCTTCCCAGACACTAATCAATATCATAGAGATCTCTTCGATCTAACCAGAGCTTTTGGGAGCAATTTAAAAATGATTCTAATCAACAACACACCGAAACAGGCTACGAATTGGCTATCATTTAAATATTCTGCAGCATTTCTGGAGACTCTGAGATGAGGCGGAGGTCAACCACAACTGGCACTATGGTCAATGATCGACTTAGCTGCCTCAAAATCCCTATCCTCGGTGTTCTCAAAGATCGTGGTCTTTCTAGCTTGCATGGAAGAGTGGAAACATCATATATGAGCGGACAGATTTCTCTTCAATGTAGATATCACTAAATCGGCCTCGAGAATTGGAGAGAGATCCCCACCCATGGCTGAGTCGATAAAGCATCGAAGTCAAAAGTTCCACTAGGAATCTTCTATCCAGATAGCTTGCTTCATCAAACTTCGAAAATACAACACTGTACTAGTGCAAGCACGAGCTCTGTTGCTTTCAAGTCAGCTATCGAGGACCTAATCAGGCGACACAATATCTATTCGCACGATAGCAACTGTTATAGAAAGCAACTAACAATTGGAGCGTTCCCAAAGGCAAGAGAAACGCGACTATCCTACCTATTTAATCTTGAAATCGAAATACTGAACCAAGACAGCAAGACTCATACTGGTTCTAGGCAAGCTCCACATATTTACTTCCCTTGAGATCCCCTGTATGTCTTTTCCAGACCCAGCTAAGTGACTAAATCATGATATTCTAAAAGAAGCTAATACACCATATATCAAAGGGTGGGCTAGCTAAACTAATTTTTAGGGACGTTTCCCACACTTCATGACCTTTTCGGCTTCTACTAACAGAACGTATTGAGTCTACTCCGTAGGGTGCATGACGCCTTAAACGCGGAGTCCATCCCTTGATATTCCAGAGAATACTTATGTTTAAGCGTATTTAAATTTCAAGACTCAATCCTACCATGGTATTGAGTCCACGTCATTACTGGCCGGCTGTAGCCCCAACAACCGCACGTCTGAATTGTGGGCAAAAGATCGTCGCTGAGGTCATTCAGCCACAAAGCCTAAAGCAGATGGCAAGAGACAGGTAAATTCGAGGTGTTTAGCGGTTATAACGGATAACTTTGATGTCTCCTTCGATCCGTCTAGTATCGATTAGTTGATGACCGAGTGCTTGACTATCATTCAGCATATATATACTGAGCCGTTGCAATTTTCATGCGCTTGTTGTGACATTCTTCCTCAATCGCTCTACTGACTCCACATTGGTACTCTCTAATACCAACATCTATAATCGGAAGCTCTGCTCCTTTATCAGAACGTAGAATTTGTTCAGATCAGCCGCCGCGAACATGAGTAATCATCACAACCGATTTCGCCTCCCCTTATGGAACCTGCGGTAGTGGCCTCGATATCAGCGGTCTGGCTCTCTTTTTGTATACTGTCGATCTCGCCATTTGAATTGTTCTCAGGCTTCGGGCTCCTTCAACTAGTAAACTGAGAACCTTGAAGACTGGAGTGGAAAAGGTTTCGTTCTGTCTCCGTGCATCATTCTTATGGAAGACTGTGAATTTCAACACGGCAGGACTAAGTTGCAAAAAAAATAGTAAACGAATTCTTCTTGGATGGAGATCTCGTGTCTTCTTTCAAATGTTTTCGGGGGAAACTTTCAAGAAACTGCTGAAACAGACGCATTCGATTTTGTATAGGTGATCAATTGCTAATCAAATCTCTTTCCCTCTTTGCAAAGATTCTTTAGTAATGAGATGAAGTCAACATTATGAGAATACTTATAACAGGATAAAGGAGCAGTGCAATACCCAGTCTGCAAGCCTTTTTCTACAAATAATTTGGAGTGCAGATTTTGAATTGGGAATTCATAGGAAACTGACAGGACTTCACTTACCCATTAGTGTCAGAAATTTCATCAAAAATTTGACTTTGGTACACAGTCTTGGTTTTTTTGTTGATTTCCCTGCTTCCAAATAGAAATTTAAATCCCTCTATTCTGAAACAAACAAGCAAGAAAGCTTGAAAACAGACCAGGCTGACAATTTAATCTCACTTTGCCTCTTTGAGTATGTTAGGCGAAGAGGCTCGAGCCCTTTATGCAATTTTTTCAATTCAAAACAAACCAAATTTGGACACATTACATCTTTCATTCGACAACCTATTCTACATCAATAGTTTTGATGATGATCAATCCTGGGTACATTTGGATTCTCTTGGTTCTTTTTTAATGTTTCATCAGAACACATTCAACAGACAAATTAAAAAGGATCAAACGGGAGAACTTGTTTGTCTTCACATCAATCGACAGTGAATCATCGTAGATACGGTCTATGAGAGACGGCTTTTCATATTTTAAGCATGAATAATTACCCGATATTCTTGCTTCAACCTCATTTACTCTAAAAAGAGATGCTATGTTATAATCTACACGATTCCTACAGGTGGTACGATTGCTGCACTCAATTTCCTCGAAAGTTAAGTTGAGGAAGTGAAGCTAGAAAAACGTATTGACTTCTGCGCCTAGACTTCTCATTCTGGTCAAAGATACTGGTCAATCCCAAAATAAGATGCAGGCACTGGCAAACTGCGATAACATTGAAAACATTAAAGAACGAGAGAGCTGCCCGTCATCGAAGAAACTATAAGGCAAAGAGAATTCCATGGTGTATCAGTCGACTCATCACTTACTATTCGTAAGCATTCGGACTGAGCGTAATCTAGATATGACATGTATCTATAAAGTCTATTCAGATCTCATAGTCAGCACTGGGCAGATTGGAGTTCGTGGGAGTTTTCTGGTCACCACAACGTACCTTCCCGCACACCTTAATACATTTCTCCAACTTCGTCTCGATGGATTATTCACCACTGAGCTACGCTGCCTTCGTCACCAACAGAGTGCCGCAGTAGAAATATTCATCGCTTCCGAGTTCTAGTGTTCTTGGTCCATGCCTTTGGTGCGAATATTGATTAGTTCCTTCATTACTTTGGGTCCTTGTGGCTGTCCATATACATTTCTCGGTTGAGTCATGATATCCAGACGTCTAATTTTA